GGAGTCAAAGCTTTTGTCCTTCAATTGCATATCCTTTGGTTTAGCCATCTCTCCATTTTCCCGAATGTTAGTCACAGGAAAATTTATGAAACCACCAACGTTGCTACATTTTCAAAATGGGTCTCTCACCCTCAGGCACCTGGGCGATTCAGTGATGTGTTTTTTCCCATCATGCATTGGTCGAGGGTCTTTGCGTAAGGTGTTACGATTTCTAAACTCACAAAGAGAGAGAGGCGGTCGCATTTGATTGAATGAAGATAAAACAATTTTACAAGTACCGCACGTTTAGGTAAAGAAAGAGACCGAATTACAGACGCTGTTGTTCACGTAATCGAACATTTGCATTTTCAGATTTTACCTACGTTTCGTGCAAATTTTCAGTGCCACATTTCGGCAACTTTCGGAACTAAATTTTTTCTTCATAGAATCTTTTCCTCCCAAGTCGTCATTAATCTACCTACCAAATATGATGGTATTCTAGCTGATAGATCGAGCTAAATTGTGTCAGCTTAAACGAAGGGTCAGTTTGGCCCTGTTTTATTATAATTTGTCATTTTGACTTAATTATCAATGATTTTTTTTCTTCCATTTTCTACATCTGTTAATTTTCTGAAAAATCGCACTTTTTTTCTCAGGTAAAGAAATACGTAGGCAAAGCATTTCATGATGTTCAACACCAATTGCAGAAGTTCTGGGCTTCGTTTGAAAAATAGAATTACTAATAAACGTATTTCATTCATAATGTCTTTGAATCACAAAAGCAATACTGATTTAACACCAGTATATTATGCGACTATGAAATCATTTCGGTCTTGCTTCACGGCAATGCAGAATATTTTTCCCACGCACTTCTGGAAGCTGATATTCTAAAGCCTTTCAGCAACTCAGCAATATAATTTTTGATATGATCAACAATTTCGAAAAGCTTACTTAATTTATTAACAGAGCTTTACATTTTAATGTCATATTTTATTTATAGATAAAAAAATATTGTTACGAATTTTTTTGCTCCGAATGGAAAATAAAACAGAAAATTGGAAATCAGTTAAAGAATCTAAAGAAGCACACGCGAACAGATTATCATGGAAACAAATTAAAGAATATTAGTATGCATGCTCTTTACATTAGCATATGATTTGGAAAGACTGAAACTAGTAGACAGGTTCGAAATGGCTGAAAACTAATTTTCCAGTAGTCTTATTGTCTAATCGGCTCTCTTTTGTATTAACAAAATGGAAGGGGCATGACTCTCTTGTGAGTGTCAGACAGAAGTCAGTCTATTCAGCAATTTGAAAGAAATCTTGAAATTTATAGAAAAAAAAGACAAAATGTGTACCAGTACAATAAACCATGTATACCAGTGCAATCAAAAAATTTTGACTTTTGAAATTTGAATTTCTGCACTTTGTGATAAATACAAAATCACTCTATATTTTAACTATTTTTTCCTATGAAACATTTATTTTTCTTTCTCATAATCGAAAATTTCTCACAACAGGAATTAAATAGGTTTCAAGACCTATCTGTGATAAGCTTTGACATGTTTTAATATTTATTTCATATTCCTAATAATTGCCAACTACTAACTAATTATGTAAGAAAGATGATCGCTGTACTACCACTGAAGTATGTCACACAACATAATACTATCACAATTAGTTTCTAGATATTAAGTAATTTAAGTAACTCCAACACTTTGCCTTTAATATAAATGTATTTTTATTTCTGTACTTATCTTTCAGTATATGCAAATTTAAAAATACACAGAATAAACAATACCAAGTTATTTTTCCCGTTAAATGTAGTAAAAGGTAATTCAGTGATTATATTTTTGCCTTAAATTAACTGCAGAATATTTAAAAGTGAAAATTTTCCTCTTTGCATATTCCTAATTAACTTGGATTTATAATAAAATTTTAAATTTCAGTACTTCCAGAAATATAATGCCCTTGTATAACTATGCAAAATGTTTGAACACATACATTTTTATTTCATTTAATAAATAAATAATGACTTTTAAATAAATTTATTTTCATCAATAGTATTCATGGAGTAATGTTTACATAACTGGAGTTTTGTGGAATGAAACTGAATCTGTAAAATTGATTTCAGCAGCTGTTGCAGATCTCACCAGAATAAGATTATGAATTTAGTAGTGTTAAAAAGCAATGCTAACGTATGGTTTCATGATCAGATGAGTTAAAGTAGTCAGGAACTCACTTAGATTTCATGCAAATCTATGTTTGAGTATATAGTAGTTTAGAAGGGTAATTCAGTAATTCAGACAGGACAAATATAAAGTAGTACTTTATTTAAAATCCAAGTGAAAATCTCTATAAAATTCCAAATGTTGGGCTTGTCATTTTGCTTTATTTCCTTATGAGCAAATTATAAACTGAGCTTCCATTACGTATGTATTAAATTAACATGAAATAGAGCTAAAGACAATTAAAGAAGCATATGTTACATATGTGCAGGGATGCATAACAAAACAAAACATATTATTTACTTCCTAAACTGTAATGACTTGTTCCTAAACTGTAAAGTAATTTGCTGAGCATGTAAAGGTGATATTATATTTTCTTGGATATAAAAAGTTCAGCTCTTATCAAACACTCAATTAGAATTCAAAATCCTATGTACCCTAGTTTAATTTCAGCATAATGTATCACTAGTGCAAAATAACTAAAACATCAAAAATGACTATTTTTAACATAAGGCACCTTTCAGTAGAAAACAATTAGAAGCGGCTTGCTACATAAGCTTGAATGAGACAGAAAAGTGAAGAACAAGTGTGACAGCATTCCCAAGTTACTAAAACCCTTACTAATCTTACTAGTATTTTGCCTCTTGAAAAGGTATTCTTATCTTTTTGAATTTATTATTTATGGTCTATTGCAGTAATAATGTTAATATGAATCCTCAAGAATTTGATGTGCTGCATAACATTCTAAAATTCAAAAGTGACTTTACATTCCCAAATATACATTAACTCAATTGTTCAGATTACTAGTTACAGATTATGCACAATAACATGAATAAATAAAGTATATAATATGTATATTAATATTCATTAATAAACTATATATTGAATAATTTCAAAAAAAAATATGATTATGATTGTAGTTAAAATTTAAATTATTAATCATAATGCAAACAATATTTTTTAAAACATAAAAATTGATTGATCTGAAAGAAACATTTATAGTGATAAATAATAAAATGCAACTAACTTACAATGAAACTTTATGAGGAAAAAACAACATGATGTAAAAGGAAATTTTTCAAATTGTAGATCTTAGTTTCCTTCGAACAAAAAATAAAACCTACAATCTACTTTTATTTTTCATAGTTCATGAATTGAAATTATTTTTTATTATTATAATCTCTTTAGACTAAAGATATTAAAATTTTGACTGTACTTCAGCAGTTAAAGCTGGTTTTACAAAATTATTCTAAATAATGTGTTCCATGTGAAAAGAACGAAAATTCTTCATAAAAAGTTCACAATGAAATTAGAAATCCCTCTTAGATTTAAGCACAATAATTGAAAACTGAATGACTGAGTACATGCATTAATTTTTTTTTTTTTTTTTTTTTTAAATCAAGCCTGCCTAAAAAATCACCTTCAGCATATTTAGGCCAGAATTTCTTAGCATTCAACAAAAATAAACTCTAAAATTGGTTATTTTTTTTCTGAGGTTAGAGTAGCCAAATGCCCAAAATGAAATAATTTTCCTGCTACACAGTGCTCAAAAGTAGGCTTAATCATGAAAGAGAAATAAATTATTAATCTGAGAAGCAATTAATATAGAAAAAATATCATTTAATAAACTATTCTTTTCATTATTTAAGCTTTAAAATAAGCTAATGACTACTGCTGTGTATGAAATATAAATGGTTATTAATAATTATATCTTCAGCTCTCCAAGAGGAAAAATCATTTCCCACAACTAAACAAATACACAGACACATACACCCAGGGGTCAGGCAGATTAATTTTTTATCAAAGTAGCAGAAGTTGCTTACGGATTTGTAAATAACTTTAACTAAAATAAACAACTGTAGTACTCTTATATAATCAGTTCAGGTCAAGTTCTTAAAGCATTCCCCAATTTATATGCTGAGGAAGACTTTTGGACAGTATTCAGATGAAAATGGAACACAAATTAAAATCAATGCATTTTTAAAATAGGCAATATATAATATTATTCCAAAAAGGGAAATTATACACAGAAACAGATTAATTCCATTTTTATTACCATATGATGTTATGGGATATGTTTACACCTGTCATCGGTGTTCATGATCAAGTGTGATATTATCTGCTGATTCTGGATTTGATTTGATAAAAAATTAATTTGGTTTCTATCTACCTCTGAATGAATTTTCGTATGACTTCAAATGCTATCTACATATAAATTTAAAAATTAAATTGAAGATCATTTCAGCCTTCTTTTTTATAAAGAATGCATTACTTTTACTGATATAGTGCCAAAATGCCTTTTGTAAAATAGGTTAGTTAAATTCCTTTTGTAAAATAGGTTAGTTAAATTCCTTTTCTAAAATAGGTTAGTTAAATTCCATAAAACAATCTCCAGCTTACTTGTCTTTATGAGAACCTATTTATATCAAAGAGGTTCTTCAAACATATTATACACATAAAGTACACGTATTTTCAACATTTTTTATACAAATACTCAGTTTTTAAATCTTCTAAACATGCTAAAATTTTTTAAATAAAATATGCATATTATAGAATGAAAACAGAAACATGAAACTGTGAAACATATAAAAATATGAAACATATTATAGAATATATTTTGTATGTACTCATATATCTATCTTATGGAATTCACTTTTCTAAATAGGTTACAGGATTTGGGAATCTTCACAATTACTTTTTGCTCTGTAATTTAATTTAATTTCAAATGAAACTTTATATGTACTTGCTGTCCCTTTAACTTAATTTTACAAAACTCAGTAAAACAGCCTTTAAAAAATCATCATAAAATCAGTTCTTTATAATGTGGGAAGCATTACAAAAAATCTCTCTTACAAGAAAATTAATTTGTTGAGCATGTAAAGGTGATTCACGAGATTTTTTTTTTTTCAGTATATAAAGAACATGTTAAATTGCCTTCCTTCCACTTCCTTATTACTTGAAAGCATATTTTCAGTTCTGTACAGTATCAAAAACAAGATGATGAAAATGCAGATACAGTATTATTAATGTGTCTAAACAAAGGCGATATGTAATTTCCCACTTCTACAACAAAACACATACAGAGCATCTTGTAACACGGTTTCTACGTGTAGGATCCCAAACAGTAGGAGTGCTGGATCCATGAATAGATGCTGCTTCTGATATTGTATCATCATCAGGCAAAGGCACACTAGGATTGTCTAAAATTCCCTGAAAATTATTTAAAGAAATGGCATGATTTATTAATCCAGTTTCAGAAAATTTAAGCTAAAAAATGCATTATATCAGTTTCCTAGATGAAAACATTATCAATAAGAAAAAGGGGAAAATGTTTCAAATGATGAAGTTAGAAATGACATTAGCAGAGTTTTTCAAAAACTTTCAAGCTACTATATTTTATTACAAAATCCTACCATGATAGTTATTATCCATGAAACTTAGCGAGTATTGTCATAGTGCAAAACATATGATTTCCAATTTATTTTCCAAGTGCTAACACTACCTCTCAGAGTGTTAGCATTCAGCAAACCATAAAATTTATATTTCAAATTTTATCAATCCATAACAAAGCAGTTTAAAAGAAATAAGTGCACTCTTTTACAATTTGATCTTGTCCTGCAAATGCACAAGACATAAGATCTTTTTCATGGATTTTATATTTTCATGTATACCAATTTCATGTTGATGCTGTATAAGATCTTTTTCTTCCTTCAAATTATAACTGTCCTATTTAACCAGTTCAATGGTTTAAAAGCCATAAATACAGTTATTAATAATTTAAATCTTTATTTTTATAATGATATATACAATTGATATAATTTTAAATACATTTGCAACATTGCTATGAACAATAAAAGATGATTCTAATGTTAGACAATATATCGCACCTCAATGCTAAATTATCTTTTTTTAATGCAGACATCAGATATACCTTGTAATAAACTGTTACAGTAACCATTAAAATTATCAGACTACATGAATAAATTCAAAATTATTAATCAGTACATCATGAATTAAACCTAAAGCACAAAGAATGCAGCAAATATAATAAACATCCAGTTTCAAAACAATTACTTTAATACCAGTTTAATCCTTAAGCATTATGATATTTTGAGCGGAATAGCTGTAATTTTTATTCTTCGGTTTTTGGCTATATTTTTAACTCCTACTAAAAGTGTATCTTTGTTGTCCAATTTCCCTAAATGACACAATGATAAATTTGTTGTCCAAAATCCCTAATGACTTAATTAAAAAAAATGACAAAAGGTATTTTTTTAATTAAGCAAATTTTTTTAATTAACTGAAAAAAAATACCTTTTGTCATTTTTTTTAATTAAGCAAGGGAGGAAAAAACTCAGTTTGGCACAGATTTTGGGGAAAAAAAAAACTCTACTAATTTTGGGGGCAACCAGACAAAAGTCCCTTTTCTTCAGGAAAAAAAAATTACATAGCTTTTTTGCCTAGTTTGCAAAATTGCAAACTTTTTTTACTGCTTTGTGTAAGCTAAGATAAAAATTTATATTACTTCAAAATTAGCAAATTAGAAACCATTCAAATAAAATCCATAATTTGAAACCATATAAAATTTATTTCATGTTGCATGTATACCCTATACAATTATGCTGAGTAATTTTATTAATTTTAAATGAATTTTAATAAAAGAATAGAAAATCTCTTTGCTTATAAATTTTCTTTTGAAAGGCTTTGTTTTTAATTTAAGAAATAAATATGTCTTACTCTTTCTTCAGTATGCTGTGGAGCATCATTATATCCTTCAGTACTTCTGATGACAGTTACTGCTGGTGGAGGCATAAACCTTTCAGTAGAAATAGTAGTCAGTTGATGTGAAGGGAATGATGGTGATATAAAATGGGAGAGTCGTTCAATTATGTCAGAAAATCTAGACTCCCAGTCTGCTTGCCTACCACTGCCACCATGACCTCCTATGCCTTTTCAAATACAAAATTATTATCGCCAGAACTCAGTTTTTTGTGACTTATTAAAGTTTATTATATCAAATATTTATACATAAATAAAAATACAAATCACAATTTATTAACAATGACATGTACTGGAATTTTCATAAAATTAAAACTTATGTTCATGAGTGCAAAAACAGTTTTCTTCAGTTTAAAGCAGATTGTACAGTAAAATGTGCACCAAATTATAATATTGTGCACTAAATTATACACTTTTAAGTGTATATATATATTAAGCATGTTTTGTTTAAAAGGAAAATGCTTCTTGTACCTCTTCAATACCTAAAATAATGAATTATTACACACACACATATATATACATACATATATAAAAATCTCAATTGCATAGCATCCTGATTTAAGTGATTATGCTAACATGAATATTCATTACAGCAAAAAGGAACACTTTTTTTTGGTAAGGAAGATCTTCATAGATTAAATCATTAAAAAATTGGAATTCAAAATTAAAGCAACTTGAAATCAAATACAAAATATTAATTTTAATAAAGCTGTGATTAAGTATCAAAGATCATATTAAAATACTGAAATAAAAATGCACTAAATTAGGTTAAATATCACAAGAAATCTTCTTAGATGGAATACAAATGCAAAACAACAATCAAATATAAAAATACAGATAGATATAAAAATACAAATAGATGTCTTAATTACAGATAGAACTTTCACAATATGTGTGGAAAATTTATAACATTCCAAAGGTAAACTATATTTAATATGTAATCAGCCTAACATGTTGTTATGCTTGTGGATAGTAAAACATGGCAAAATAAGTAAGAAAAATATAGTTGACTTTCATACAAAACAGAATGATTTTTTCAATAAAATTTCAAGCAATGTATGATTACATTAAACAAAGTTAGGAAGCAATCAAAAGACAGCTGGCATTTTAAAATTAGTAAGTAATAGTATATGCTGTTTTATTTTTTAGGCAATAAAATCTTAATTTTTGTCAAAAATATCAATAAATAAAAAGAGAAAATATTTTAGTAATTGAAAACATGTATGCCACTTAATACTCCTTCATTTTTACCAAAGTATTTCCGTTATTACAGGACATTTTCACTTTTTAGGTTTCCTTCTCTGTGATCTAGAATGTTAACAGGGGCTCTAAGCCCACAATGAGTCACAGTTTTGATTTGGGATATGGTATTCATACCAAAGTTTTTATGAATTATATATAATATTTAAATAGTTAATATGTATATAATTTATATATTATATATTTGCCTCAGATAACACAAAACGTCAATTATTTGTGTGCTACTCTAATTGAGTTACATAACAAAATGTGATTTTTGTCTTTAAGAAAACTGCCGTTTACAGTTTTAACATAATTACTGCATTTCCCCTTGTATAAGCCACTTTATGCATAAGACATGTCTTAGTTCTGGGACCTGTTCATGTCTTTCTTTCTGATATATAGATTAAATACCACTTTACAGAACTCCAATTCATTAGAAAAAAAGAAATATATTATTACGAAAGAAAAAATAAAACTAAATAATTCTTACCACAGAGATTAATATACACAAGTGAACTAAGAATAAGAGCTAATGGTCCAGGTGGTGGCCAGGGTGTAGGCTCCAGCATTATAGGCACTATTGGTTTACGAAGAAGGTCAGCTAAGCTCATTTCTCTTGTGCACAATTTTGAAAGGACATAGCGAGGAGTAAGGCAACATAAGACAACCTAAATTATAAATTAAGAAGTTTTAGTACACGTATTCATCAAATTCAGTTGTGATAAGTATTGCTCTTTTTCAACTAATTTATTCCTTACATTTCACAGCAACAAATTTCAGATAGATTCATAAAAGGATAAGAAAAATTAAATAACAACTTTATAAAAATTTTTTACTAGCACAAAAATTGAAATGGACAAGGTAGCTGCAATAGCAGCTGAAGAAATTTTTAAATTTGAAAAAAAGGAAGTTACTTTTTATTGATCAAATATTTAAGTACGAGAAAACATTTAAAAAAAAATTATTGCTAATACTGGAAAAGCAATTAAAAAAACTCTGATATGGACACCACATGACTTCCTTGTATACATATTAAATTACACATACCTTTTTCTGCACTTCATTTCCTCAAATTATTCTGACTTGATAACTGATCCCTCAAGGTAAGTTGAAAATGACATCAAAAACTGCAAATTTTGAAATTAAATATCCTGATGAATTTTTGTTGTATGGGAGTCAAACTTTTTGTATTTTTATTTTTTCATAACGAGTAAATTTTTTTTCCAAATGTAAGTTCAGGAGACCACATTAAAAATTAAGTTTCAGTATTTGTCCAATTTTTTTTTAATTTGTAATAGCCAAACCATAAATATTTTCATCATTTAAAATACTTTTGTAATTGGAAGTATATGTTTACAACCAACAATTGCAAAAATAAAGACCGTGTAAGGACTTTTAAGCTGGGTAAGGGGTGTATATATATATATATATAATACTACCTTATGGAACCTAATTAAAATAATTGATGAACAATCTCAATGTTTCCAAATAGTTAAAGATCTGATAATTGACTTTTGCAATTTTAAACTAAAGAATAGTAACTTTTTTCACAAAAAACTTTTTTGTACTATACAGTTCAAGCACCCTTCTTACGATCAGTTAAAAATTCCAAGCATTTTTAAAAAATATCAACACTTGCTTCCTGACCAACAACTTCAAATTAAGCCCTGTTTTAAATTTGAAAAGATCTTAGAGGTCAACTTGTTATCAACAACGTTATTCAAGAAGATAGCATATGTAATTGCCAACTTCCTATTTACAATAAATATGTAGATCCTTTCCACCAACATGTCATTACTGGAGATCTCAATATCATTGAAGACCTAGAATTGCGAGCCCTTATGCAACTTGTCACCAAATTTCGTCCTACTTTCAGTATTAATAAGCATTTTTGCCTCAAACAATTCAATAATGATCTTGATAAATTTATCATTTTAGCTAGTAATAGATCCAATTTACCTATTACTACTTTTTTTGAATGGAAAGCTGCACTAATTAAAGAATTTCAACTTTTGCTTTTCAAGTCACCTTATTTCAATTCTTTGCACAGTAAAAAGCAACTAGAAAATCTTATTCAAAAACTGCAAGATAACTTTATCATCACGAACAAGATTGACAAAGCTAGCAACAATTTTAGTGTTATTTGAAAAAAGTCATCTTTAAACAAAAGTCATCTTTAAACAAATACAGGGAATTCCAATGTTTTATTTCAACCTTCTGCATAATGAATTGAATAACAACTTGCACCTACCAAAAAGATTACTACCAGCACTAAGATTCTTCTCAATAAATTTAATGCACCTACATAAAAGAACTTAAAATACATCCCAGCAAATATAATAACAGATTTGCAAATCTCTATGCACTACCAAAATTTCATAAGACTCTGGATCAAATTCAGGTTCATTGCCAATAGTACCAAAAGTTATCTTAAAGAAATAGATTATCTTTTTGCACAAAAACTTCGCCTAATACGTGACCTTCATTAATAACTATGATTTTAAGGATCTGCATTGCAACTGGATGATTTCAAGTAACGAACAAGCTCTAAAAACTATAAATACACTTAAAATAGAACATATCCAATGCTACGACTTTGAAAACCTCTATACTACTTTACCACTTAAAGAACTTTATATAAGTTTACTTGCTCTTCCTGATTTATTTCCGCAAATTTCTACAATAATAAATACCGAAAAATGGCAACTTTTTCTCTCAAGCGTGCTTTTCAATAATTTTATTCAATTTAACAATAGCATCTTTAAACAAATACAGGGAATTCCAATGGGAGGTAATTTTTCAAGTTCTGTTTGTGAATTATTCCTTTTTACAAAAGAATTGACCTTTATCCGTTCACTCAGTAAAGAAGAACATAAATTTTACCAACACATCTATCCATATATTGATGATGTCATTGCCTTTAACAACTACAACAAAATAGAAGTTGCTAAAATCTACCCTACATGCTTAAAACTAAATAATACAAATATGGTGCAACATAATGTAGTCTACCTTGATTTACATATTATTGATTACAATTTATTAAAAGTTTATGACAAAAGAAGAGAATTCAATTTTTCAACACTAAAATTAACCAACCGGAATTCAAATATATCCAAAATATATTCAAATCCTCAACACAATCTATTTACATCTTCTTAGAATTAAAAGAATCTGCAATACAGCAAAATACCTTCAAGAAGAAACACTGTACTTCGTGACAATCTTGAAAAATAACCGCATTTCTCAAAAATTAATTAAAATAACCCTAAAAAAAGCTGGCCTTACCAATTTTTAGATTTTTTGAGTTAGCTAATGATATTTTATACTTAAAGCCCAATAGGACGGTATAAATTGGATGGCTGATTCTGAGAATCTAATGTATAAGTGTACAGATAATTCTTGTCACTACGTTTTCTTTCCTCCAAAAGATTTTGGCACAATACTTTTAATACTATTCTTTAAATAGTTTTAAATTACTTTGATGGCCAATTCTAATCCTGTTATTAACAAACGGACCTTTTCATTTCGTGAAGCTTGATCGACCTCTAGCTTGAAGAATTACGACTTTTATTAACAAATGACTGTTTTTTCCATTTTTCTCTTACTTTTGTGGCCATGTTAAGTAATTTTAGTTGAATTATCCATTTTCACTTTTTGCAGCAGTTCTTCTTCTTAAAACAACTTGACTTACGCCATTTTAAACTTTTTCCACGTCTTTCGACCCCCTTTAGCTTTTGGGCAGGTTCCCGCCAACGGTCAGTCTTTTGACGTTGGTTGTTGCCCAGTGACTTTGTTTCCCCCTTCTTACGTCACACGACGAGTTGGAGGGCATTGAAAAGCACGGAAGGGAATTACAACCCCTTTTTGTTTTTGCTCCATGATAGAGAAGACAGAATAGCCACAGGTTTTTTTTTTTTTTTTTTATGTTTCTTTTACAAAATTTTTTCTTGGTCTTAGCAAGACCCACGCTGTTAGTTTTCCTTTAAATTTAATTTCAGATTCATTTATAAAGTTTTAATTCTTTAAGCTTGCAGGTCCAGCCCGTACATTATTTTATATTTTGACTAATAGCAGACCGCTATTTATTTTTATTTTTATTTTTATTATTGCTGTACATCGGAGTTGCATTTACATTTTTTACACCTTAACGTGTCAATATGTGCGGATGCGTCGGGAAATTGGAACAGAGAATTGAGACTAAAAAAATTTTTTTAGGACAGTTTATCTAACTAATTAAAAAATTTCCGTAATGCATAGTTTCAATTGTCTGTTTCGGTGAAACACGTAATGGAGTTAGCTTGGTTCGACGTTCAATCAGAAATTTCCCTTGAAAAGCCAGGTTGGACCTCGAATTGAGATAATTTACCATTTTCCGCTTTTTAATTTTTATGTTTTAACTTTTTTATATGTTTTAACTTGTTCCATCGATTGGTTTTTTACTATATTTTATTTTTTGCCTTTAACTTGTTTCCAACGATTAGTATTTTCCTGTGTTTTATAATTTACATTTTATTATGCATGTAGCCTAATGTTTCACCTCATTCAATGTCATTGTTTTTTTTAAAAAAACTGCATTGAACTTTTTCTTGGAGCCACAGCTCCTGGTAACTTTTTGGCGAGCTAACTACTATTTCTCTTCTTATTTCCTTAATTTGGCAGCATATTGTGCAAAAGATTTTGACCAAAATTTGTCTTTTTAGTATTGTACTTACAACCTAGCTTATAATATTATATATATATATATATTAACCAACTGGAATTCCAATATTTCTAAAAGAGTCGTCCGGAATACAATTAACGCACAACTGCTTAGAATAAAAAGAATCTGCAATACAACAAAACACCTCCAAGAAGAAGTACTATACTTTGGTAACAATCTTGAAGAACAACCTAATTTCTACAAAAGTAATTGAAAATGCGTTAAAAAAAGCTGGCATTAACTTTATCTTTTAGATTTTTTGAGTTAGATAATGAAATTTTATGCTTAAAGCCCAATGGGACGGTGTAAAGTGGATGGCTGATTCAGAAGATCTAATGTATAAATGTAAAATAAGTTCCTCTCACAGCTTTATTTTTTACTCTTAAAATTTGACACAGTACTTTTAATACTATTCTTAAATAGATTTTAAGCATTTTCTGGCCATTTCTTTCCTGTTATTTACTTATGGGCCATTTCGTTTCTGGAAAGTTGATCGCCCTCTAGCTTGAAGAATTTCGACTTTAATTAACAATTTACTATTTTTCCTTATTTCTTCTTACTTTTGTGGCCATATTTTAACATATTGTTGAATTAGCCAATTTTCCTTTCACCCGCGCCCAAATTTCCTCAAACTCATAGAGCAAAACACCATCTTGAACAGTTTTTGCATTCTTCAACACATTGCCACCCCCTTACACTGAGTCAGGTTTATGCCAACGGTCAGTCACTTTTCATTGGCTCTTTCCTCATGACGTTTCTTCCCCTTTTTTACATCATACAGCCTAGTTGGTTAGCAGCTTACTTGCTCGAGGCTTTCACCCCCTTTTTGAGTTTGCATCATTACTGCAATGAAGACATCAACAGTCCAGATCTGGTTTTGAAAAATATTTCTTTCCCTTGTATTGATTTTTGGTCTTAGCAAGACCCTTACAAAAAATTTATTTGTTTTATTATAATTTTAAATTTAATTATTGGTACTTTCACAAAGTTTAATAAACTCTATAAGCTAGTAGGTCCTCTCATAAAATCTTGTATATTTTGACTAATAGCAAATCGCTATTTATTTTATTTTGTACATTGGCATTACCAGTCCATTATCTATAGTTTATTATTACACCTTAATGTGTTTCTTCAAGCGGACGTGTTGGGAAATTGGAACAGAGAATTGAGACTAAAGTTTATGGTGAAGTTTTTTAAATTAATTTATAAAAAGTGTTCCATATACAGTTTTAATTGCCTGTTTCGGCAAAACGTGATACGGAGTTAGCTGGATTCGAAAATCATTAAAAATAATTTCACCTGAAGAGCCTTAATGAGATTCGAATTGGGCTAATCTACGATTTACCGTTTCTTTAAGTCATTTGTCGCACTTTAATTCTAATGTTTAAAATATGCCTTACTCTGATCAGCATATTGCTTACAATTAGTATTGAATTTTATTTGTAAATATTCAAGTGTTTATATTGTTTATTTAATCTTTACTACACATTTCATTGCACTTTATTTTACTATGTTAATATTTTCATGGAACCACAGTATCTAAGCAACTTTTTAGCGTAGGAACTAGGAATTTTCTTTTAACTTTTTTCTAAATTTTGCAGCTCAATGCGCAAAGTTTTTGACCACATAGGTCTTTTATCGTTTGTTCTCTTTTCTTTAATTATATATATACACACACCCCTTACCTGGGATACATATATATACATATACGTATATACACTTTTCGTACTGCTGATCACAATAAAAAAACAGCTGCCAATTAGATGTTATAGCAGTCCTATATACAAAATTTCATAGCTCTATGGCTGTGTTTTAAGTGTATGAAACACATAAATATACAGGTGTCACGAAAAAACACATTTTGAACACATTTTACAATAAAGAGTCCTTTATTCTGTTTATATTTATAGACATCATGTGAAAAGATAGTCTAAGTGGATCTGGGAGTAGTCAAAATGGATTTTTCTGTTGAAATCTAAAATTTTCCCCATTTACAATATTTTCTTTACTTCGTACAAGAAGTAAAAGGAAAAAGAGATTCCAGCCTGTAGGTAACAAAATCAATTCAGCTATCATGTTTATTTACTGAAAGTGTGGGGGCATACTCACTTTGGCTTTATTAATGCCTTCAAATATTTTTCCATACAATTTATCTCCACCAAATATATGTCCTACATCCATCCAACAAGGATAACCAGCAAGCTCAATTCTTCTTCTCAAATGCAGAACACTTTCTTGTGAATCCCACTGATAACTTATAAATACTGGTGGTGATGGAAGATCAGATCCTAAGTTGAAAAAGAAAATCCAGAATTAAGATCTGTGCAACAGCTTTTCTCCTACATAAATTTCATTACTGTAAAATGCTAACAAGCTAAGATAACAGCTGGTTAATTATTTTTTATTTATTTGAAAGAAAAATAGTAACATTTCAAAAATACAACAGATTTTCATCCTTTTACCTATGCTTAAAAGCTAATATGAAACAAAGAAGAGCATCTTGATATTAGAGTGCAAAGAAGAGAAAAAAACTAGCTACTTGAGAATTTCAGATTACAATTTAATACTTCAAAGATCTAATTAAAAATAAAATTAAAAAAAGTGTGAAAATAATTTTAAAATTATACAAATATTTCAGGTCTCTCCTTAAATAAAAGTAATAGCACATAAACTGTTGCCAATTAAAAACTAAATTTTCATGGCTGAATAAAATTAAAATTCGGTTCAAAAATAATAACAGTTTTAAAGCTCTAGTGCTTTTTCTACATTTTCTTTTTAATATACAATGTTATATATATATATATATTAAAAAAAAAAAAACCACTCTCAAAAAAAAAAAAAAAAAAAAAAAAAAAAAAAAAAAAATTACTATCATGTAAACAAAAGTTAAAAGAGAAATATATGCAGAGATCTAGAATCTATATTATACAATACAATTTTATCATAAATATTCAGATTTTATCTGGAATGCAGACCACAACATACAAAAGAAAAGAGTTAAAAATTTTGCAGCTGACCTATTACCAGAGTTTTGAAAGCTCGATTTGTTTACGACTTTTATGGCTTAAAATAACACTTGCTGCAATGTTATGTTAAAAAATCCAGATAAAGTGTCACTTTAGATTATTAATTTTGTTGCAATGATAAGTAAAACGTTTTTATTATGCAATATTAACTGACATATATGTTTATTTATGATGAAAGTGTTTTTTTGCTAATTAGAAAGAAGTACCATCTCAAGGTACTAATGCGCTATTTAATGAATAAAAATTATTAGTATACTTAACTGCTGATTAAAAAAATATTAAAAAAGCATAACTCGAATTATGGGTAGGAAAATATTTTATGCTAAGTTTTAAAATGTTTAATGTACTTTTGAATGTATATTTACTTACTAAGCAGGATTTTTAGCAAATATATCTATAGTACTAGTGTTTCCTTAACATAAACATTTAATGTTATTAAATAATTATTCAAGGTGAAGCAGTATTCAGGACTAAATGATATCAATTAAAAAAAAAAAAAAAAAAAAAAAAAAAAAAAAAAAAAAAAAAAAGCCTTTTTTTTTATTTTAAATGTGCTGAAAATGAGTTCTAGAATTATTAATACCTAATATTTTTTTTTTCCCTTTTGATAAGTTTGAACAGTTTCCTTTCATCAAAAGTTGAAAACCTGTTCAAGCTTACTCTTTTGCCCTATATTATGTGAATTATTTATTTTCAGATTTCAATTTTAATTTACAGATATGTGTGATTATTTCATTATTGCAGAATACTTGCAAACAAAATCGAATTACATGCAGTAGAAGAAAGACACCTTCTTAAGTGTGTCCATAACATAATGCAGACTACCAGTACTCAAAAGGTGACATCACCTTTATGAAGTTCAGCTATTAGTTTGAAAAAAGTAACCAATATCATAATGAAGAGGCATCATGCAGTCTGCTATTTTGATTAACAAGGCAAATAAAAACACTACCTGCACAGGGCCGCCGGCATCTCTTAAATATAAAAACCTGATCTTTATAAAAGTGCTGCCAACTTTATTTCAGGGACCTCTGAAAAAGTCTCCGTAAACACTTGTGGTCTGTAAAAAGGTTCCAGCATTCATGCATGAACATTAAAGAAGCAGTCTTTTTATTTCTCTGACTTGAACACAGATTGCCAACTCATTTATGTAAAATTATAACTATCTTATAAGTTAGAAAGAAATTTTTCTAGTAATTGATATTAATAAATTTAAAAGGGATGAAATTTATTTGACTAAGATTCTAATCTTCAGAAATTTAATTTATTTAATATGTTTCTTTTTGGCAGAGACAGCAGCAGCAGGTTTTCGCTGGTATTTACACTATTTTAATTCAAACTTACCGAATATATATAAAAATGTGTTGCAATCCTAAAATAAAATTTTAGTTGAATCTTTTTTTTTTTTTTTTTTTTTTTTTGGTTTAGAACTTTGTGAAGTCAAATTACTCTACTTATACATTATTTAACAGCAGATATCATTTACTTGCAAAAAAATTACTTATACATTATTTAACAGCAGATATCATTTACTTGCAAAAAAATTATTGCTTTTTTTATTTCTCACTACAACTTGATGGCATTTTGGTTCTTTGTATTTTCAGAAAAAAATTACTAGAAACTGCCTTCATCATGAATGGTAGATGCTCATTGGTCAGTCAGACTCTTTTATCGAATTTTTTACGTTTACACTGCAAAAAACACTGTTCACATAAAAATATACTCCCAAACACAACAGTTATTCTTATTGAAAAAAATTTTAAACTTTGATTTATCTTTTAACAAGTACAAATATAAGTTAATCAAATTTGTATCTTCAAATCATTGTAAAAGATTTGTATGACACTAATAAATTGATTAGCTCCATTTGTAGATTTCCTGGCAAATTATTCACATTCATTTTAATGGTAACAAAAATAATGCAAAACTGGACTACAAATCATAAATAGATCTTTAGGTCTTTCTTCAGATTCTTATAGTAATCATGCTAGTTTTCTTACACACTTTTCAGATATTTCTTTTGAAATAATATAGTAGGAGGTAAGATGTAGAAAATGTGTGAAATATTTAGATTCAAGTCAAGTTTCATATAACTGCAATTTAAAGATTTACCAGAATTCATGTCAATGATTAGTTTCGTTTTTCTCTGCAGCTCTTTATTGAGAATATTTAAAAGTCTGATTAAGTTAACAAGAGATGCTAAATTTGTTATCCATGTATCATTGTATAGCTCATCGATGGTTTTTAATTTATTTTATTTTATTTTTGTGTCCTGAAAATTTTGACTCCATTTAGTAAATCAAATAACTATTTTAATACAACTCCTCAACAAAACTACCTCTTCAGTATATTAAATAAATTCTCTACACTCCTTTTCCCTTTCTTTATATTTGATGATTCCAAGCTCATCCACTGATCAAATTTAATGTTTTAATTACTGATTTTAATAACCTTATCCATATGAAAATTTTTGGCACCATGTTTACAACAAATATATAACTAAAATGTATTCAATAACAATTGCTTCAGGAGCTGCCAGTTTCAGACTTCTGTTCTACATGAAGCCCAGTACCAGTCAATACATAGTCATAAACTGTTTTAAGTGAATTATTTTAAAGATGGCTTACTTCTTCAATGTGAACATTTTTTAGCAGATACTCACAAACTTTTATCTTAAGCATTGAACATTTTTGCCTATGACTTTTCTGGATTACAATACATAATTTAATATATAAAGGAAGAAAATAGTACCGTTTTCACCCCCAGACTCTTTAAGTTGCACCTACAGCGAAACTGGATATATCCTTTAGAATTGTATATTAATTATATAGTGACTACCCCTTTGAAATTTAATGCAAATGAAGTTTTTGTTTTTCAAGTTATTTATTTAGAATAAGGGGCAAAATACTTTTAGCCATGAGCTATTAAGGTTTTTTTAGTGTCTCATGCTGGCTGAGGCAAGATGATCTTTTTGTGATGCCCGTATTGTTTGCAGGATTTGATGGGAAGACGCCCTCCCTGGATAGGAATTTTAAAAAGTTACAATTAAAAAATTACAAATATGCCTAAAATAGGATCTATTTGTATTGGTCATCAAATAATTGAGATGTATATTGTTTCATTTTCAAATAAAAATTTAGAAGTTAAATGTTCTTTCTTTAAACTCCCTTTTCTAATCACTCCTTTTAGCTCATCAACATTAATATGTCATTGTTTAATTTCAGAATTTAAGGTGCTAGAAATAATATATTCTTCAGTAGGCTCATATACTTTCTAGCATATTTAGTATTCTCATCTTAGTTTAATTGCTAGTATATTCATGGGTACGTAATTTTTAGATGTGGACATTTAGAAAGTTTTCATGCAAAATCGAGCAAGAAAGAGATGAAGCACAGGATTTTATAATGAGCCAGATTAAGCAATTAGAAGGGCCACATTTGACCCATGGAACTTGCTTTTGTCTACCACTACTTTAGATGTTCAGACACAAACACTATAAACAACAAAAATCAAAAGAAATGAAATTTTTTGAAGGGCAGATGATATGAGTGCAGATGATTACCATATTTTTTATATATAACTTACCCATTTCTAAAAAAATACAATCTGCAACATCTCGTCTCCCCATCTGTTCCAAGCAAGAAATCAACATATCTATGCAATATCTGGTTCTGCCATTACTATCAAACCAGTTATTCAAAAGACTCACAGATGGTACATTTTCATCTTCAAAGCGTTTGATTTCTCGTTCACTGTAACCTGTAAAGTAATTCATATTATGATATAACAGCATATTTTAATAGTAAGGAAAAATAATTTAAACATGTACACACAATAAAATCAATATAACTATTCTCTTTTGATAAATAAACAAATTCAAATGTTTATTTATTATTTAATTGCATGGAAGATTTCAATTAAATTAAGGAAAATTATGAAGACAGAAATGAAATACTGTTATATCCAGATTTAAGGTTTGATCCAACTAGCAATAGCCAGTTTTGCTCTTGAGAAATGTCATAATCACCTCCCCCTCCCAAGAGATTTCAAATCTTTTTATTAATATGTTTAATGTTGATGTAGTAAAACAAAAATTCTACATACTATTATTCATCTACAAATACTAAATTAAAATTATTTCATACTTTATATATATATTATATATTCAAAAATGTAACAATTAATACTCATAGTCAAATTTTGTTAAGCCAAAAATGAAGATAGGGGGAAAATGGATTAATTAAAAATTCAACTTATTGAGATTAGTTGACATCAGTTTTGAAGCCTATATTTAAAATTTAATTTCTATTTAATGAAAATTTTGAATCATCAAAGTTGTATTGCATATTCCTGGCTTTTAAAAAAAGGAGAGTGGGGTTTATTAGTTTTATATTAAATTTTCTCCTCATTTAAAAAAAAAACTAAAATCAACACGTTATAAAAATAGATCAACTGTACTACTATCTTTTTTAATAATTAACAACAAATTTTGTAACCTAAATTGGTAATGTTACCAAAAGTTTTCTTCTGTTAACTAACTAACATTGCTTTTTCGTTATTTCAGTTTTCATTGTGGAAGACACTTTTATCTCATAGAATTGTTAAAAAATTTTTAAAAATACAGCAAAGTGAAAAGTAGTAGCACTATGAGTACTACTTTATGTACTAGTAGTAGTAGTAGCAGTACAAAGGTAAGATATTTTATAAGCGAATAAATAAATAAAACTTTCCTATCAAGTTACGAACATATGATTTAATTTTACCTAATCTTTTAGCTAAAGCAATCCAGTCTTGCCCAGTGTTTGCAGATGTAAGCTTTTTTCCAACTATGGTCAGCCAGCTTGGTTCTTCTTGAGAAATGTCGTGATCACCCCAAAAGAAATTTCCAAGAAAGGGAGCAGACATGGAATCCAGTGAAAGGCGCATGCTGTCAGAGCACTTTGGTGAATCTTGAATGAGAACAGTGTGCATATATGCAGCTATTGCACAAGTATTAGAAAAACTCTCTCTCTCTCTCTATATATATATATAAATGGAAATCAGAAAGTAAAAAAAACAATGATGAATAAATGAACACTATTAGAATTGCATTTTTACTGTGTACAAAGAAGAAAATTGTTAAGTACGGCAGCAAGTTCCAACACTAAATAACAAATTATAAACACACAAAATGTACAGAAACAATTACAACAAACTAGATAGAAAGGAAAGATAAAATAGCAAATATCAGTGGTCAGCAATGCTATGTTTGTTCGCCCCATGGCAGACTTTAGATGTGCCCTCAATCCTATAGTCACAAACAGGAATGCTCAGGGTGACCACCCAATAAAAATATTTTGTATCAATTTATCACAGAAAAATATACTAGGAAAAAGTACTTATTACTATTAGTATGCATGACTAGAAATCATGGTAATTAGAGTTATAACTAGGTCATCATCTGTGCTTTAAATCAATATAGTTGAATTTCTACACCCTGCAAGTAGCAGTGGCTAAAATCTAGTTGTACTACAAGAGGTGTCTTTTTAATAAACCTTTTAGTAGAGTTTTACTTTTTGACTATTGTTTTTGGAAATTGGATTTCTTGTAAGTACAAAGATAAGAATTCTTTTTAAATATAAGATGACTAAACAGGTTGTAATTTGATTGATACTTATAGGTTCAACTTACATGGCTAGAGATTATGAACAATAATTTATGAACAGCCAAATAAATGCATATTTGCATTCTTATTAGAAATGGGATAAAGTTTTTATTTTTGTCAAAGTGATGAGTTGGCCTGGAAATGTTGAAAAAGCTGTACTATTTTGTAGAAAATGGCATGTATGCTCAGTCTATACTGAAGTAAAAAATTTTTAGAAATTTTTCAATATTTTCAGCCTAATGATACTGAAAGCCTAGTATAAGAAATAACAAACTTGAAAAATGATCTTAATTTGAAAGAACATTATAATGATAACAAGTCTTGGAATGCAGCTGATAAAAATTTTTATCCTCTTTTATAAAATGTGCATTAAAAATATATACATGTTTTGTTTATCTGCTTATAATTGTAAATATGATGTATATGAAATCATAATATCAAGACAAACTTACAAATGCATACTAAGATGACTGTTTAAAAGCAGAGAGCATAAGTTAGCAGAATTATAGGGTCACATTTAATTTATGGATATAATAACAATCACTTGTAATTTTTTAAGTTTGATTCTGAATTATTTTATGCATGTGTTTTTAATTCCCCTTCTATTTAAGGAGTAGTTACAACATGATTATATATAATCCTCTTGAATTTGTGTAACAGGCAATGTGGGCACTCATTTCAATATCTACAGCTTATAAACTATATGTTTATTAGATAAAGGCAAACACTAAAAGAAAGATTATGTTACAATAATAAATTAAAAACTCATGAATTTGTTTTATCTCTCAATAGATCTGTATAGCGACCTTTTACTATTATCAGTTAATAAAACTTTTAATTTTCCTGATATTGAATAAATAACTTTGTTTTCACTTTTACCATTGCCATTCCCATCATCTGTGTTTGTGTCACCTGCATTATATAAGAATCATATTATAATCATTAAATTTGGCAAGATGCATTTCAGAAAGATTTATCATATATTTTGTTATTTTTAGGATAGAAAGGATAAAAACCAAATTAAAAAAGATATTTAATTAAATATTCAAATTTTATCTTATTATTCTTGATCAGTTCAGCATCAAGAAGCAATCTGCCATAAATAAATTAATAAATATAATTAATCAGAGTGTTACAGTATATTTAAAAATTGGTAAAATTTATTAGTTTTCACAAAAGTATATAAATATAACTTATAGAAAATATGCCAAGAATAAATTTACTGTGGATGTAGCAAATCAGACATGCATGGTAGAAAAATTCTTTGTAAAGTAAATTTTTCCACTAACTAAAATTCATAACAATATAAGTTAAGAAAACTAAGTTTCAGATTGATATATGACATAAACTTCAAGATAATAGTCCTATTTTTCTCATTTGAAAGTTTGAAATTTTAGTATACATAATATTCTCATACAACAAATTTTGCATTGTATAATTTTTTATTCTCAAATTAAAAAATATTAAATTAATAAAATGTAATTATCAAGAGAAATTGAAAATTAGGAGCAAATTTTCCTGATTCCTGAATTTAGCAATGATTATGAGAAGGATTTTGTTTTTGATTTTTAATCCCTGCATTTGATCTTACTTAAGATTTTAGTCCTTTGTATTCTAGTTACCACTTGATGCATTTATTTCAGAATGCAATGAGTTAAAACTTTTATTGGAAAAATTCTATATTATAAATAGTTTAAGAGGCATTACTTCCAGAAAGTAATATAAGACAGCATTAACTGTGCTAATTTTTTTAAATTCAGTTTTCTCTTAAGATACTTCTAATACTTAAAAAATGTTTTTCCATTGCTGACAATTGACAGTGCTGTATATCTATTATAGAAATACATGGATTAAATTGTCAACCAACCAATATGTTTTCCAGCCAAAAGCTTATCGTCAGAAATAATAAATATATAACTGCTAAAATTGTATTAAATATTATATTGGAAAAAAAGTGTGACCAATCATAACTTTTATTTTGTAAGCAATCATCACAAAAATACAGAAAATTTCTAGTGTAGGACATTTAAGTATAAAACTTTCTTTAAAATATCTTTGAAACATATGGTGAAATTACTACTTTGATTTTTAAAATTGTACCTTCAATGGATGCAAAAAAGAACTTTCTTATAAAGTCTGTCTTTATTAGACGATAGTCACACTCAACTACCTATAAAATAAACACGCAATTAAAAATAGTAAATTATCTCACTTTTAAACATACAAATATTATGCACATATATAATATAATGCATACATAACATAATAACAAAAAAAAATAATAAAAAATTTTGAGTATTTTAAAAATCATTTTTATCAACAAAATGTTTAAGATAAAGCAACAAACATTCTTGCATGAAAATATCATGTTTACGTCATCAATCATGAAAACATGTTTTAGGAAGCTGACATTACAAAGTGTGTTTACACATTTTTAAAATGACTTTAAGACCATTTAATTAATGCTTAAAATGTAAAGATTATTTTTTTTAATGTTCAATCTGATATACTTTTTTTAATTATAAGGCTGTAACGTGATTCTCATGTTAGTCAATGTTAGTCTCATGTCAATTTTCAGTTGCTGTATAGTATGAGGTTGATGAGTGTGGACTTCAAATAGCCCCATAACAGAAAACTGCATCTGATAAACCAGGTGATCAGGGAGCCATTCAACATCTCCAAAATAAGAGATGATATTGAGGAAATACAAGCCAGGTGCCAGAGTTGGTGCACTTGCATGGGGCAACAGAAATTAGGGGCAGCAAAATATTTAAAATTTAGGAAGAAACCAGGTGACAAACATTTAGAAATTGTACAGTTTTCACTAAAAGATGAAAAGTCTAGCATTGGCTTTGTATAAACTTTCCTTTGATGTCAGTCAGTGACTTCTAATGTAACATGCATGTGTTCTCTGCTGCCCAATGTTCGAAATTATTTTTGCTGATGAATTCATTTAGAAGAAAATGAGCTTTGTCAGAATCCAGAAATCCTTGCCTTTTATTTATTATTTATTATTTGCAAAAATTTCTTCCCAAATTCACTGCTTGACATTCTTCCGACTAACCTTGCCGGATTACTAAAGGCTGTAACTGGGTGATGCATGTTTCACTGCACCAACTAAGATGTGACGCCAAATTTTAATTGTCTGATTGTTTACATCCCTCTCTATAGATACCTTAATGTTAATTTTAGGGGAAAAAATAAACAAAAGCAGCAGCAAATGAAACATTATTCCAAGCATTCCTTTAAAACAAAAATGGAAATGGAAGGAGAATCTGCAATTCCAGCACTTTAGATTATATTTCTAACACTTCAACGAAGAATTTAACATCAAAGTTTAGAATGTATATAATAAGCATTTTTTTTTTTAAAATGTACTTGCAAACCTTTCAAGTAAATGCTAAAACAGGATAAAAAAACCAACTACAACAAAGGCCTGAAGACACATTGCTGCTATTTAAGTAGTGTGAATGAAGACTTATTAATGACTTCGCCTTTGTGATATGGGTTTCTCTGTGGATATTAAAAAGCTTCAGTGGGTTGAAAATAAGGCGTTTCACACATGTGAAATTCTATTCTGCATAGGGATCTAAAAATTTGCACCATTACAGAATATTTATGAAATTGCAGTGACAATTTCTTTGTAAAGGCAATGAATAGCATAGTAGTAAAATATTCATATTCTAAATTACATTACCTTTACTCAGTCATCACTTTACATAGAGATCACTTTACATGGTCTTTACATGCTAGGAGATCAGAATTTCATTACTTAATTTTGTACATAGTATTTATTATTATTTATTTTACATGCTTTCATTTCACATTTTCTTTTATTCTTTATTTGATGACTATTGTACATTTTGTATGAAACATTGCCTTAGTTTTTTAGTTTTATTGTAGGTATTACCAGATGATGAATATACAAGGCAAGATGAATTTTTGCTATATATAATATGTTTCATTGCTGATGTCAGTCACATGATGAGGCGGTGTAGTGTGGTGTATTTAATTATGGCAAAGCACACTAAGGCTATCTGCCTAAAGGAAGGGATGCCTTCGTGGAGGACTTTCTAAGGGAAACTGGCTCGTATACACGTTACACATGGAGAAAACCACGAAAACGCCCATGCAGCCAGCCCGTTCGCGGGATTCGAACCTCGGACCAAACTACACATGATGAGGCATCTGCTTTTCTTTGCTACCTGACAATAATGAGTTATTCACTGTTTAATCTTGAACGTCAGTTTTAGGGGCTCATTTTCATGAGCCAATTCTCTTTCCTTAAAATTTCTTCCTGGAGGAATTTTACCGGCAAGATCATTAATAAATGAGTTTACTGACCTTATTCCAAGTGATAAACAGTCTCTTTTCACAGACTTTGATAAAGGCAGTTGCAATGCTTAAGTCTTAGAGTGAATGCTCTCTTACAAACCTACTTCATAATATTCATGTATAAAACAGCATTTTCTGTAAAATATTGTTAAGAAGTCCTGGTAACATAATGTTTTAAATAATCAAATTCTGTATTTGTAAATTACATTTACAAAATATTAAAGGAAAATTAAATGTCTGATGCACCATCATTTGACGAGTGCTAATTTACCATGGGTTGGTTTATCATACACTGAAAGCAATAAATATCTCAAAAAGCTTTCCTTTGAGGTATTTGAAAAACAGTATTTAATTATGAGCTTATTTTAAACAGAGACAGCGTTAAATTTGATTTATTTTATCTAATACTGTATTCCAATTATTATGTTTTTGAAAAATTCTACATTTTAAGTTTGAAATTCTTATCATTATAACATTCTCCAACTCAGTTCAAGAACAACATGCCAGTTACTAAGCATTATTAAGAGGAAATTAAAAAAAAAAATTATTCAGAAGGGAGGAAAAAACTCTAATTAATATATAGTTAATTAAAATTGAAAATTTCCTTCTCATTTAAAAAATAATAAATTAAGATAAAATTTAATTCTCTTTCAAAACATTACAATCCTGCAAAATGTTTTTTCTTCACTGACCTTTTTAGCTAAGCATTCATTTAATGGTTGAAGGTGCAAGCACTCTGGATCTGAACATTTTGAAGCATTGTGCAGTTCACATGGTTTTTCACAAGGACAAGGCACATTAAGTGAATATGACATTCTTTTGTACCAAACATCTCTTAAGTATTCTGTTTCTCTTTCTAAAAGGTGACGTACCTTTAGGAGTAAGGAGAAAATAAGCACAATGTGATATGAAAATTAAATTACAAAAAAATGCAAAACATACAATTGAATTACGATAATGAAAAAGATAGCTTTGAAATATTTCCTCTCTACCTTAGAACAAACATGTGGAGATGGAAAGGACACAGTTACCACACCTTCAGATTCTGAAAATGTTCTCTGAGTAACTATCACCTAAACAAGGGGTAAAAACATTAAGATCAACAACACATACAATACAGTAACATTAGGATAAAGAAATCAAAGAATTTGATTTAATTTGATGTACCAGGAAAACAGTTTAGGAAAAGAACTATGCTTAACTACTATAAAATTTTATAGTAATAAATTTTACTATAAAAAATATATTATAGTATATATTTTATTATAGTAAAATATTACTATAATAAAAGGTATAATGTCTAAAGATATACAAATATTAACCATGAAACTAATTTTTCAATAAATATTACCACCAGAAAAGAATTTTTTTTAAAAAATAGACAAAAACTAAATTTTAAAATACAGAGAAGATTTTTGCATTTATTGAATCTCTTATTTTACAGAGAACTGTTTAAGCAAGCCCACTGGGTCATTGATGCAAAGAAAAAGTAACTGATGCCTTTTTAAAAGAACATTTTATTAAAATAAATTAAAATTTAACAGAAATAAAATTTGTCAGAAAATTATGCAGATCAATTTTTACACTTTCATCCTGAAATTTAAGTTCAATAATATTTCCATTATAGTCAGATTTTAGATATAAAAAATGCATCTGATGGCTACATACAGAGAAATAAGGAAAGCACAGACTTTAAAAAAAATGAATTCAAAGCATTTGATCCTAACAGGATAATTGAAAAATATTTACATTAAAAGAAGCCTACTATGAATTTTGTTTTTAATTTTATAATTATTTAATACATTACATAGAAATATTTTAGTTGCTTTAATTTTGCATTTTTTTTTTTTTTTTAAATTAAGCTGGAATAAAGGGGTAATTTTAGGGAAAGCATTAATGTAATTAGCATGTCTGATTGCACATAGCACAGCTGAGGGCTACTTTAATAATTATTACCATTAAGTATTTGTTACTGAAATCTGTAAATATGTATGTGATGTACCAGCTTTTGTCCGGAATAAATAGATTGGTGAAGAATCATAGATGTAGTCGTAGCTTAAATTATCAGACGATAAATTTAAAAAACAGGATCCATTTATTATTGGTCAGGAGAAATAGCAGTTACAAAATCAGATATCCGGAGTAAATAAAAAAGAATTACTAATAACTTTTTGTATGAAAGCTTTTGCTTAGCTAAAAAGGTCAGTGCATTGTTACATTAAAGAAAAGACCCCGATATTCTTTTGCGAGTCCTTTTATAGCCTCTGGAAAGGCGGAGAAATGATGTCAGCCATTCCAGTTCACTTTGAATATCTCCAGAACATTCTATAACTGTACGCGTAGAAAAGGCGGGAAAAACAACTTGACTACGGTGCTGTGGATTTAATTCCACGTACTTTCAAATAAGAGACCGTCGCCATTAAAAAATGAAAAGAACATACAGTTAGAATTTTAAGTGTATTCTTAACTATGGAATTTTATTATTACATGTACATAAACTGCAAGGACCTTTGACAGAAAAACAATGTGTTAGACTAAGATTTATTTAACAACTAGGCATGAAAACTATATTTTCAAACAGTTGATTACCTTAATGATAGAAACAGTAATAACATGTAAAACTGTAGGAAAGGAAAGTTTTCTTAAACTGGAAAATATACTTATTTTTTACAATTCTTGTGATGCCATAAAATAAGTTGGATAATATACTGAAAAGGCTCACCAGAAAGTTAAGCAAATAAAATCAATGAATGCTGAAAATTGTCAGGAGTTTGAAGTCCCACAGGACGAGATGGTTTTGTTCTGTGATATATGATGCATGTATGATTTTGTGTTTTCTCCATGCATAACATAAAAAATAGTTTTCCTTAGAAAATTCAGATCTCTTACTTAAAACAGAGACCTTTCATATGTTTAGTAAACTTGAAAAATACCTGCTTTAAGTAGAAGGTTACTTACCAAGCTTTCAAATGCATAAGTTCTAAATTCTTAATAATCCAGTAAAGTTATTAACAGTAGTTACAATTTCGTAACAAATGTTTATGTGCATATTCAGATTTTACATTCTGAAGGTATCAACTTACAATTTAGTTCAAGATGTTTGAGGAAATGAATTGTGTGTTATTTTGTGATGCCATACAATAAGCTGAAAATTAAGCAACTATTCGAAATTTGTTAAAGTTGATCAGCAGAATTTGTAAAACTCATATACTCATGCATACAAATTAAAATATTATGCATTAACATTGTCTATAACATTTAAATAAAACTTTAACATATAATTAAAAAAATGTATACAAGAGGATACACATAACACAGCTAAATTTAAAAATGTTAAATTAATAATATTTTATATACTAGCAAACTGTTACATTGGTAAAAGAATAACATATTTTAAAATATTTGCCTAGAAAATTTTAAAATATTTGCCTAGAAAAAGTACACATGGATACATGAATCAATATATAAATATTATACGATTCATATATTCATCTACATTTATTATATATATATAATTACAATATATGAATCAGTGCACATATACCATGCACTGGTTCATATATACGTTTAATCAACTGATTAAATTTAATGAATTAAAAAAAACTTTTCTAAATATTATATTGAGTAAAACCTATGTGCTTAAATAAGCTGAATAAAAAAAAAACAATACATATTATTCATTCTCTAAAATCCTTTGTATTAAATAAATGTAGTATAAATTTAAAAATTTTATATCTTTATAATGTATTTAGAGACTAAAAATACCATCCATAATATGGATGGTATTGCTAGTCTCTAAATACATTATGAAATAATTAATTCTGTTGTATAAAAACAATTTAAAATATTTATATGTTTGAAATGAATTACTTACAGGTAGACAACAAGTCATTAATTAACAAACAATAAATTAGGTGATTAGCAAAGTATAAAAGGGCTACATTACAAGCTAGAGTTTTGCATAAATACCTGTATCCTATGACCACATGTCTTTTGGACTTTAATACAATGATTATAGTCAACTGGAACTTCACTTGGATTACAAGTTTGATTCAAGCACTTCTTTAAATTATGATGTTTCGACCAACGAAGTAAACGAACCATAAATTTTGTGAAAAAGCCAACTGGAAAAGAAAAAAAAAAAAAAAAAAAAGAAAGTAATCAGCAGATATTTCTTAAAATAAAACAAATAAATAATCTATATTTTTTTAAATTCAGTTAATTTAAGCAAGATTTTTAAGATATATCCTATCCTAGTTAATCTCTACTAACAAATAAATATTTTTCATAATTTATAGTATCAAAACATAAAAGAAACTTTTGATGTTGACTATCAAGTTTGATTTCAAACTTTAATTATAATTTAGAGCTAAATTCTAAGGAATTCTAAATTTTTTATTAAAATCCATAGCATCAGCCTATAACATTAATAAATTTCATTTAATTCCAAATATCGCTTTACTATAAGAATTAAATTATCAAATAATTTTTTATTTAATATAATTCAGTAACTTATAAAAGTAACAAAATTCTGCTGAAAAAATGAATGCTTTCTTTTGAATAAAGAAAAACATAAGACTTTCATGTTTCATGTAAAAAAAACATAAGACTATAATTATCTACAACTTTCCTACCATTTACCAGGTAGGTACGAGATTCGTGTAAATTTCATATCAAGCAACTAAAAGGCTCAAATTAACCAGATTTTTAGTTTTTCATCCAGTTTTTTTTCCCAACGACACAATCTTCCAAATGTCAAAATAAATTATAATCTGTAAAATATGGTGGAGGAATAAATGAATGACATTCAAGTTTCTGAATTTCTTGCAAGCTACTACATAAACATGTCCCATTATTACATAGTCAATATTACATAATTCTCTTTTTTGCATTTTTAGCAACCCAGTAGAATATTTTGCTGTAATGCTGTGTAATCACTATGTCATGCTGTTTGGGATAACAGTTCCAGTATGATATCCTAGATACATCCCGACCCTGTGGAATATCATGGCTAATACGGCTTTAGAATTAGATTTTGAAGACACAGCAAGTCTTCAAGCTTATGCTGACGACTTCATCTTAGTAATTAACGGGGGTAACAGACTTGTTATAGAACGGAAAGCAGAGAAAGAACTCTCCATCATTTCTGCGTGGAGCTCAAAGTATAAACTAGATTTTAGCATAAATAAAACTAAGATGATAATCTTTCCAAAGGGCAACAAGATAATTAACAGTCCCCCCACGGATAAAATGGCACGGCCAAACATTAAAGAACCAGGGCAACTCTCAGATACCTCGGCTTCCTATTGGATAGCAAACTAACGTGGGTTCCCCACCTATCAGATATAAGGAACAAGACTTGCAAGATAATAAATACTTTAAACCGAATAATAGAGTCCAAATGGAACTTAAAAGGTAGACTAATGAAAGACCTGTACCTAAGGGGAGTCGAAAGAATGATTCTCTACGGCTGCCCCGTATGGATGCAGGGCACAGTAAGACAAAGACAAAAACTACAACAAATCCAGAGGATCGCCCTGTTAAAGATTACAAAAGCTTTTACTACCACCTCCACTGCCGCCCTCCAGATCCTAGCCGGCACACTCCCATTAGATCTCAAAGCGGAATTTCGAGCGAGTCACATACAGACTTCTGCACTTCAAAGAATCAGCGACATTAGAGGGTTCCATTCTCCTCGAAGAAGTACTTTTAGAACCATGCTTCAGTACAACCTCCCTACATCCAGCCTCCTCAGAGACTTCCGATGGGACAAACATCTCCCGTCCGATCAAGGTTTAGAGATCTTTACCGACGAGTCTAAAGACGACACAAGAGTAGGCGCTGCTTTCGCAGTTTTCCACAATAGTCAAGAAATTTTTCAAGATCACTTTCATCAGGCTGTCAAGAGTTTACTTGAACCATTACACGGTTCAGGCCCTTTCCAATCATGGAAGGTTCCCCCAATATTTAGAGAGGTTTATACATTTACACGTCAAGTGCAGTTGTGGATCACCCGCCAGCACAGCAGATGCTGTTCATTACATCACTTCATGCCCACTCACCAAGTGGCTTAGATCTCCAGCCAACACCACCCTACTCATAGTAAAGGTCTCAGAGGTTACCTAACGGATTTCTACGGTCTCCAGGAAGTAAGACAGATTGTCAGCTTCATCAATGACAACAAGACCATCATACAAGTCATACCAGGTTAAAACCTGATGATATGTAAAAAGCAGCATGCCTTATATAAATATGAAAATAACTCACTTTTTCATATATATATATTCAAATTACTAATCAAAATTGTTTTCACTAATATAACTATTCAATGTAAGTTGGAAAAACCAACATCAAATCATAATTATAAATGTAATTTGCTTTGTAATTAATTAATAACGAATGATCTGTAGTGCCCAATGAGAGGCGAGGCAGGCTAAGAATAATAATTATTAATATTATTATCCTAGATACAATGTAATCTTAAGCTCACAATATTCTGTCTTTCCTGGGGGAATTTTTTGTTGACTGGAGCTAAGAAATTGTCAGTTGTGTGAATGGTCAACATACAAAACACATGTTTCATCACATTACGGAACCATATTTTAGTGCATTTCATAATCAGAAGTTAGTTATATATTAATAGCATCTGGCTGCTTACTAAATAGAGGCTATTTTATGTAATATCCATGGCTTATAATTCCTTCTGTGATTTTTTAATGAATATGAATATTGGATTTAAAATACTCAAGCACTTTTGAAATTTCTTGGGTTATACAGTAGCTTCCAAAAGTGTTCGTACACTTACGATTGTCATTGAAATAAGTCTCTATCCATTAATTAAAAGTAATGCTTCTGAATGAGATTTTAATAACAAGATCTATAATTTATTGGTAACAAAATTACATGAAACATTTTTTAAATATAGTGAAACTTTATTTTTAAGAAATTAATAACCAAAAAAATGACAAACATTTTATCTCACAAAAGTCTTTAAATATTTGGGGAAAACTGAAATATTTTGGGATAAAATCAAAATTAGAATTATCGTTTGTCGCTTTTTAAATTTTTGCATTGTGGTGGCATTTAAAAAATCATTTGCTTTAATTTTTTATTGTTTACTTCATAATATTCCATTTATTATTGAAAAATGGGTCTCAGTCGTAAAGAAATTACAAACAGCATTTGAAAATTGATAATTTTTCACCATAGTAGTGGTAAATCAATTCAAAATATTGCTAAATTAGTTAATTTATCCCATTCTGCAGTGCAATGTGTGATAAAACGCTTTAAAGAAAAAAAAATCAGATTGAAAACAAGGAAAGAAAAGGTTGACTGAGAAAGTTAACTAAATGTGATGAGACATTTATTATTGGAAAATTTGTGAAAAACCCACATTTGAGTGCTGTGAAAGTTTCTGAAGAATTTAATGCAAACTTTTCTACTTCAATTTAACCTGAAAGTGTTCGACGAGTTCTCAGAGAAGCTGGATTACATGGGCGCTCTTGCTCGTAAGAAAATATTTTGGAAGTGAAAAAAATAGAAAGCTTAGACTTTTCATTCTCAAAATCAATGGTAAAGTAACACCCGAAGCGTATTGGAATCGTAATGTTTATTTGCAGATGAAAGTAAATTTAACATTTTGGGTTCCGATGGGTGTATAATTGTATGGAGTAAAAAAATGATGAGCGTAATCATTCTAAGACCTTGGTTGGAACAATAAGGCATGATGGTGGAGAGTGTTCTAGTGTGAGGGGTACATGTCAGCATCAGGATTAAATAATTTTGGGTATTTATTCATGACACAATGAACATACGCTTTATTTAAATATTTTAAAGAGATAATTCGAAATTGAGTCAGCCTCAAAATCTGGATACTGGAAACAACTTTATTTTTTTAGCATGGATAACGATCCTAAGCATACAGCTCTCAACGTTGCCTGTGGTGTCTATAATTGTCCACAGGTTTTTAAAACACCACCTCAGTCGCCAGATTAAACCCATAAAACACATTTGGAAAGAATTGGAAGTTAAAGTTCGAAAACCACGACATCAAAACGAAAAATGAACTCAAACAGTCATGATGGAAGAATGGATGAACATTAATACAGAAATTAAAAAAAAAAAAAAAAAAAAAAAAGTAAAATCTAATCCCAGATGTTTAAAAGCTGCTGTGGATGCTAAAGGATATCCTACTAAATATTAATTTAATAAAAAAATAAAAATATTACTAATATGTCAAGATTTTTTGAAGTGTACGAAGACTTTTGTGAGATAAAATATTTGTCATTTTTTTATTATTAATTTCTTAAAAATAAAGTTTTGCTACACTTAGAAAATATTTCACGTAATTTTCTTACAAATAAATTATAGATCTTGTTATTAAAATCTCATTTAGAGAGTTTACTTTTAATTAATGGATAGAGCCCTATTTCAATGAAAATCATAAGTGTACAAACACTTTTGGGAGCCACTGTATGTTGCAAATCTTACCCAATCACACTTGGCAAATGATTAGCAACTGTAGCAGATCCAAGATGAAATTCGTCTAAAAGATTGAAATCTCCTGCTAGGAAGTACCTTATTAAAAGACAGTATTTTCTCATGTACTCATAAGCATAAATTTTCCTGAGTTAGCTGTGACAATTGCTTTTACTTATGAAATATACATTAGTCTTTCTTGTTAATGTAGCATATGCATTCTATATTTAATTTTTTGTAGACAGATCAATATTTGTATAGAAAAAAAAAGAGATTCTCTGGTAGCCATATGGCTGAACATAGATGCATAAAGATGACGCTGATACAACTGAATTCGAGGACTCGAACTTTTACTTTACTCGAACTTTACTTTTTTCACACATCACATCCTTTCATTGTAGACAATATAGTTCTAGATCATCATTAGCAACAATAATTTTTATATACATGGTTTAACACCAATATTACACCATCTTAGATAAAGAATTCAGCATAGCAGCGCAGAGGTTTATCATGGCAAAAGAAGTTAAAAAGAAGAAATGACGTACTTGCTTGTGAAGCAGTATTTATACTAGGCAGATGCTAAGCTAAGCTGTTATAGATACAAAAGAGCAGAAATTTTTAGAACACCCTGGAAACTAATACTTAATTATTATTATATACCCCACCCCTGAAAAAACTCCCTCCAGATAAAGGTAGAACTCTCAGTAACATAAATAAAATGAATTTTAAATTCAAAACTAAAAACATATCATGATAAAAGAAATGAGTTTGATGTTCAACAGCTAATTTGTAATTTTTTACTTATAACATAATTTAAATCTGATCATAAATTTCAACAAACATTAATGCAAAATAAGCAAAGAAAAAATTACAAAAATTAATATTAAAATGTTTGTAATCATATAAAATGTACTGAAGTAAAACTGTTATATAAAAATGGATACAATATTTTCTTCTATTTTGATTAGAAATAATGATTGATTAATTGTAATTTGGATCCTGTTCATATTTTTCACTTTGTCATTATTTTGTCTACTTTTCTGAATTAATGCTTCATAGTAGTTGTATTCATAATAAACTTCATTCTGAAAATAATTAGAATAATTCTATATGCTTATAAAGCTTTCTTTGGCTAGACAGAAAGATAATACAGACTTTGAATAACTTTTAAGTTATTTTGCCTTATAAGAGTTCCGTACTACAATTCTGCAAATTTAATTTAAATCTAAAATAGATCATTGAAGAAGTAGACATTTGGAAGCACATAAAAGTACTCTAATTCTTCCCAGAACAAAGTTCATTCTGAATACGATTAATGTAAAACAGTTAACATATTTATTAAGATAGCTAAAAAATGAATCATTATTAAATTGATTATCTGACAATGGATGATGTAATACAAAAGAGAGGAATATTGTAATAACATCTGTGTAATAAATAATTTAAAATAAATTCATTCCTTATTCATAACTGCGCATTTTTTATACATTACATTATTATTACTAATATAATTGAGTTGCATCTTATTTCGTTTTAAATATATGAAAGTTTACTGCAAAGAATTCTGATATAATTATTGTAATATTTTAAAACTAATAAAACCCCGACAAACACATATACATGAAGATCAAAATATTAACAGCCATTATGCAAATGAAACATATATTAAAGTGACATAAGTGAAACATATATTATGCTAACATACCTGGAAGTAAACCAGCAAAATCCAAGATAAGAATTAGGCAATCAAAATCAAACTTTTCAGATTCAGGAGCATTTGATTCTATTAGCCATGGGATGATGTACATATGAGAATTTTGTGATTGTTCAGTATCTTCAGCCTACAAAAAATTCATATATTAAATTATTAATTAGCAACATAATAATTCCTTTTTTCCCCTCTACTAGAAATAAAGTAATAAAACTTTTTAGCAGTCTATTTTAGGCTAAAATTAAATTTACAAAATTATGGTACAGAGCTCTTATATGGCAAAAGAACATCAACTTTAAAAGTTATTCTGTTGTAAAGTCTACATAATTTTTGCTAAGCCAGGAAAAGTACCCATTTGGAAGTTTTTAACCCTACTGTAACTTTTTTTTTTTTTCCAAAATAAAGTTTCTTCTGGATACAGTTAATGTAAAACAAAACATAAATTAACACAAATAGTCAAACACCAAATCATATCAAAGTTAAAAAAACAAACCTAATTGAAATTACAATCTTCAGTATGCTTGATCATGATTAAAAAATCACTCATACACACACACACAAACAAACAAACAGGGGAAAAAGATTTAAGGAAAGTGAGTCATTTCACAACAGATTAATACCATATGAAGACTTTTATATTTATTTGATAAAGAAAAGCCTGTATTCAAGATGTAGCTATGCTTTTATTATATTGGAGCACTTGCATATAAGGCTTGCAACAAATATTTCCATAAACAGCCAACACTTTATATTTGGCCAGGCCACAAAATCTGTGAAATGAAAATGACAAAGGTTTCCTCTGAGGTATTTAAAAATTAAAGTTCTAAAAGCAGGAGAGAGTTTCATTCAGCAGCAACAGCATTCAAATATTCAAACTTCCTAACGAGAGAGCACAGTGAAATATCTCATCAGGAGAATAAAAATTGTAAGAAATGTAAGACATTATGATTTATTCAGCAAAGTGAGATTTAGCTTGTTGGAGAAATAAGCAGGAAAAAATTCTTTAATGAATTATAGTAAAAATAATAAATGTATTGCATTTTCTTAAACATCAAATAAAGGTGCTTAGAAGGGAAGATCCAGTTCGAGAAGAGAACTGAATGCGATGCTATCTGTCATACTATTAAAAAAGTGAAATTTTCATTAACAAAGCAACTTAAATAAATAAATAAACAATTTGGTATAAATGAAACAAATAAATATCACATATATTTATGACTGGGAAGGCCACAATTATCTCGGAAAAGGAAGTATATCTACTTTAGAGAAAACTGGTAAGTTAAGCAATTTCTTCTACTACAGTGCATGATAAAATGATTTTTTGAAGTTTGGTTTCAAGGCAATTTTTTGTTCCTTCATTTCCAGCATTAATGAACAGCAATCCCAATGTTCTGACCTATTTAGTTTTTCTCAAATTGATCTATGAGGTAAATAACCCATCTCACTTTCAAGCTTCTCTGTTCTTATGAATATGGCAATGGTGAAAAACATTCCTGAACTTTAAATTAAAAAAAAAATTTCTTACCGTGTTAGTGGAGAATAATGCAGAAAAATGTTATAATTAAGAAATTTAACTAAGGAAGCAATGGGCAGGGAAAAATATCAACTTTATGAAATTTGAACAAAAACATAATCTAGTATAATTAGCAATAGGCTAATCCATTTTAAAAAATCATTAATTAGTGATTTTTTTAAATGGGTTGAAAGACTATGTAAATACTTAAAATCAGTTTTAACACCAGTAAAATTAGAAGCCAAAATTAAATTTCCCCAAAATCACTGTAATTTCATGTTAGATAATTAATAAGAGACTGATTTCTGACATATCATTAACATTAGATTTCAAATGAATGAGAAGTTCTAATATTTTTTTTTAAATTCCTTCTTTTACAATGATGTATAAACTTTTTTAGCTGGTAAACTAACTGCCAAGAAGCCTGCCATTTTTATTAAAGTATGTTTGCTTCAGTTAATAATTTTAATTTCAATCCTTATTTCAAAGAGTATTTACATGTCTTATCTCAAAAATGAATTTCTACTGCACTATATGCTTTCTCACTGCACTATATGCTTCTTTTATGTACTCTGAAAGTTTAAAATTAAAAGATATAAGTTAAAAAACTTTTCGAGCCTTTTCTTGACATCTCATGGCATAGATCAATGAATTTATAAAATTATTCAGCAGGAATGGTTGCCACAAATCCTGCAGCATATCTACAGTTGCAATACACTGATTAGAGCTGCATCCACTATTAGTCAATCAGTTTCCAGTTCCAAAGCCCTGTATTATTGTTCCAAAGTTTTGATGTAAGAGATTGTGTGGCCAAATTATGATGTAAAAATCTAGAAAGAACTCTTGTGACCATCCACTGACAAATATAAATATGTGGCATATATTACATAGATCTCTAGAAATATCCTTTCTACATCATAAAACTCAATGAAGAAAACAAACTGATTTGAGAGAATATAAGCATAGCTCAGACCATGCACATTAGACTTAAAAAAAAAATTTAGAGGTCCTTCTGACCATGTGAACATGCCCAAAATCATCACAGAAAACATTTTTCAAGAAGCTCATGTCACATTCTAGCATGCTCTTACTGTTTAACAGCTAGAATTTAAACTCAGTGGACTATACTTTTAGATGTCACTGTTTTATCATCCAAATCTAATGTCTTTGTGTTGAGTCCACTTAGTCAACTGATGATTATGTGCTAAGAAAAAGGCATAGATTAGTCTATCAATGCTAAATCCCATAGAGTTCAGGTAGTAATAAAAATTATTTTGATACATTTTGAGAAAAACTTGCATTGAAACTGCAGCAGTTTCCTGCACTACAGCCTGTCTATGATTCATAAATAATTTTGCCACCCAATCTTGGATAGTTTATTCATCCCTTTCTATGAATGGACATTCCAACAAGACTACTCACGATACTTTTTTTGATAAAATAGACTAGAAAAACTGAATTAATTAGCTATCTGAAATTTTCAGTATAATAATAAGACCATATCCAAACTCAGTTGCTCAGACATAGCTCTTGATAAGCAACTATGTTGAATAAGCAATTATACAGACATGAACATTTAACTTTTTAGATACTACAATGCTGTCCTGCATTTACCATCAAAGCATTATTGTTTTTCAATGTGTCCCAATCCTCTGTCTAATGTTATTCCCATGACTTCTCGTCTTTTAGTGTGTAAGGTGATATAAACAGAACACATGTACAGAACATATTCTAATGAAGAGTGATAAACAACAAATTATTTCTTTAAAAACAGTGAGCTTCTTTACTTGAAATTGATATCAAACAAAAGGTTTTAGTACAGTTTTCGCCGTGCTAATTGAGAGAAATAAATAAGATTATTTTAGAATTAAGAAAAATATTTATTAGAACTTTCTCAAAATTTCATTGAAATAGTTAAAATATTGAATTATATATAAAGTTTAAAACTAATAGAAAATTTAAATTCTATTTCATCAAAGAATAAGATTTTTATTTACAAAATTTAATTACTTATGACTAAAATTATTTCATAAATATGCAGACTGACTTGACTGGTGTTTGCTTTCCTCCCCCCCAAAAAAAAGACCTTTTATAGAACAATCTGGAGAATTTTTTTCATAAATTAATGCTAAAATCATACTACCAGCTTATAGTTTACTATAATGCTGTAAGATTACAAATGAGATGCTGACAGGATCTAAGTGAATATTGAAAATTTCAACTGCATCAACAACTTCATTTTTATTAAAATAACTTGTGTAATTTTAACATGTATAAATGAATTAATAATCATGGCTTTTTGTACAAGAGGCTCAAATTCAACCCATAATTACAGCTGATTTACTTGGTCATTCCCAGACAGATAATAATAATATATATATATATATATACCAAATAAATATTTAGTAAAATGACAAAAATCCAGATTAACTTACGTCCTCTGCTATAACTTCACAAATAACATCAGTACTGTCTAAGATATCCAAAAGGATAGTAGTATGATGAAATGCATTTGGCCATACTTTTTCAAAATTTTTAGCTGGAAATGTACCATCAGTTTCATTACACTCATTTTCTTCAAAACTTTCCTATATAGAAATTGAAATACAGAAGTTATTTTGACATTTTGAAATAAAAGAACTTTATTATATAAAGTAAATTCTTGAGGAAAATAACAATCTTATTTTATTGAGATAATAAATAAATTCTCGGAGGGGGGGGAGCAAGCTCATTTTATTTCAGAAAATCAGCTATCGCTTTTAGAAAAGAATCAGATTTCTAAATTGTACATTTGTATTGCAGCAATCTGCACATTAGCATAAAATTGAAAAAAAAAAAAAAAAAAAAAAAAAGTGTGCATGTTTGTGTAATAAATGTTAGATCACTATATATGGTGCTTAATGTAATGTTTCACAAGAAAAAATGAAAATAAAAATTTAAAAAAAATACAGAAGGACTGGCTTCTTTTCAGCAATGTGTTTATTCATATATTTATTAGCCAACTCACAGCAGAATTTCAAAGAGATACTAAAATGCAAATAACATATGCTACAATTGACTTATGCAATTAACCATGAGTATAGAAAAATCAGGGATATACATATAAATCATATACGAAATACATATATCCCAGAAAATATGATTTGACTGATCTGTTAACCCAAACCACAATGAAAAATCATTGTCAGAGTATTGTATGTGGGGGAGGGGGGTACAGACAGGTATAATGCCTTCTGCAAACTGTTTCTTGTATCATATATCTATTAATATAACTGCATACTTTTTTAATGGGTGTATTCAGAAATGCAGCATAAATTTAATCCTTCTTCTGAGACTGCAATATAAATATATGTTTCTTTTGTATAATATAATAATAAAAAAAGCCTCAGGCTTGAGGTCAGACAGAATATATGCTAGGGGTCAGTAACCTTGTTGCTGTGGTGTGCCGCACCAGGCATCCAATATGATTCAGGATGCCGCACAGCAGGGAATATTTGAAATATTTTGATTCTTGCGGCAATGCAAGCAGAGTTAGGGAATAGAGGTCAAAGAATACATATTTAGAGTTTATTATACATTAATTATGCATCATTTAAAGATATAGCCATAAAAATAAACAACATAAAATATAACTATTCCTTCAACGTAAATAAAAAATTAAAATTGTACATAAAAGAAGTACGTATCTTTTAAATTAAATTTCTATTAAAATAAAATATAAATATTCCTTCAATGTAGTTAAATTTAAAAAAATTAATTTTACTGCAAACCCTGTCTCTGTACAGCTGAATTTGACCTATGATTCCGAATATTCAGCTGTTAAAGAACTTGTTCGTGGAGTCAAAACATTTTTTATATGAGAAAAGATCTATTCACATAGTGGGAACGCAAAGTGGAAAGCAGAGTACATGCAATTTTCATCAAACATTTAAATCTCTCTGGTATTGATATCCAGCAATTAAAACAGCTGTTGATTTATTGTTACTGTTATCTTCTAGATTTTTTTGTAATTCCATAGATATTGCTTTCCATAATTCTGAAGGTGTTAGTTCAATGAGATCCATTTCAAAATTATCAAATTCCATTAACTTGAAAATTGACAAATTGGATAGGATTATTAATAAGGCTATTAAATTTGGTTTGATTAGGGTGGAAAATATAGGTATACAAGTTACAAAGTCTTTGCATCTTTTGGAAAATTCCTCCTTAACTGTTTCAACCTTAGCTTGAAATTCATCTGTGTCTAAGGTCAATGCATTTGGAAATGCTAAGATACCAAAAATTTCTACTGGAAATGGATAACTGTTGATTCCAATGAACATAATATAGTATGTGATGGTTGCTCTAGTATTTCTGTAATGGCTCCTTAGAATTCCCCCAAAAGACTTTCCAGGCAGCTAAGAGATGAAATTTTAGAAAAAAAGTCCCTGGTAAAAAAAAATCCGGCTAGAATGTATAGAGTATGCTCTTCAAAAGGAAAACATAGTGGAACAAGACATATTTGCAAAATCCGTTGTGTAGCATTATATGTAGGTGATTGCTAAACTAGTTATCATGCTGAAAAGAAACATTGAAAATGAAATATTAAATAAAATTAAACCATTATAAAAGTGTTCATTAACATTGCTTTACTTTCACATACAATTCCAAAGTAATAGCTGGTGATATAAAATAAATTCTGAGAAAAACTGTGTGTCAACAATATGTTCAAGAATTTCTATTTTCTTAGTTTATCAATATATTTCTAATACATAATTCAGAATAATTACAAAGTGCATAATTAATAACGTAGATAAATTTTAGGCACTTAAAAGGGATACTGCATCATGAAGGAGAAATTATACAAAAACAAATACACTGGTAAAATAAATTAAGAGAAGTTTCATATTTGATCTACAATTTCCAGAACTAATGGACAGATTTTAATAAAATTTAGTGTGAGCATAGGTTGATATAATACAAACAAAATAAACATTCAACAGTTATAATAGACACACTTGTTCGTGTGTAACACTAATGGGAGTCTGAAGGTCTGAAACAGCGGTTGCAGAAGACACAAAAGAAATTTATTAATGGGGGCATGGTCCCCTCTTACTGCTATACAGGCCTTGCAGCATGATGTCATACTGGAAATAAGGCAGTTTATCAGTGCCTGTGGCAACTGGTCCCACTCATTCAGCAACATTGTTTTCAGTTCCTGGATGGTTCTCGGAGGGGGGTTGTGAGTTGCAATTGCCCTCCGCAGAGTGTCTCAGACATGCTGTATAGGATTGAGGTCTGGAGACCTAGCTGGTCAATTCGTCCGGCGAATACCTCACTCTCGAGAAATTTGTCGACCAGAAGAGCTCTATGTGGCCTCACGTTATCATCCTGTAAGATGAACTCGGGCCCCACTGCACTCCGGGAAAGGCGAATATAGGGCTCCAAGACCTCATCCCTATTCCTCACACCAGTCACAGACATGGGAGACATGGTAAAATAAATTCAATAAGCAATCTGGAAACACAAGCCAAAAAGAATGAAAATGAATCCAGAAAAACAACTTCCCACATCTTCTTTGCAAACTACTCTGTAAGTTCCTATTCCTGACATCGACAAGGGGCGAGCTGATTTGCTCAATATATATCAGCTTATCAGCACCTTTTTTTCATACTTTGTCTAAATAGCATTTGCCATTCTATAGAATATTAGGTATTGTATACAATGTCTAGGAAAAGTATGTAACAATTCTTATATTGCATACTTTGCCTAAAAATGCCCAGCGTTATATACAATGCCTAGACATTCTATAGAATGTTGACATTTCATACCTTGCTGATAACATATATACCATTATAAAGGAGTATTAAGCATAAAGGTAAAAATGGAAAGTCTCATGTTCAGCAATATAATAATAAGAAGAATGATAAGAATAGCACTATAATCTTTATTTTAATAATGCTATAGCATATATATTAATTTAAATTGAATTATGGTATCCTACATTATAAAACTATACTAAAAATCAGATTTTCCAAATTTCCCCAACAGTCATTTTTTAGAAGCAATTGTATCCAACTTACTTTTAGAAGCTGATGAGTATCAATATTCATTAACTGATAAATATAGTTTATAAACCACTGAGGTTTTAAAATGACTATTCCACATCCATCTTCATCACTTCCTTGAAGCCACTCAGATCTTAAATGCCATATTTTCCCTTGATGATGAAAAAAATGAATCATGGAATAAAATTCTTCATCGGAATCAATATTTTCTAAACGAGCCACTTCAGAAAGCTACAATCAGAAATTTAATAATACATTTAAATCAAAAATATTCATTTTTATTTATCTCCCCCCCCAAAAAGAATTTAAGCAATCTGTCAGATACTAACCAGAATTCAAAAGAAAAAATAATATAAAATGTTAAAAAAAAAAAAAAAAAAAATTGTTTTAATACCTGCTGAATAATTTGTAATTTATTTGGGAATTTGTCTTAAAAATTATACTCACTTTTCAGCTTTATTTGCTTGATAACTTATAATTTATTTGAAATCTATTTTAACATAAAATTATTATCTCTTTTGAGATTTCCCTTACATTAATGTTTTTTTAAACCTTCCCTATGTTAAACATTTTTTATACCACAACTAATAAGATGAAATTTAAATCGTGTCAGAATTTCAGATAATTTAAAATAAAAAAATATGTTTCTCAAATTTTACTGAATTATCTGAAGGTAAAGAAACAAGAAAAATAACTGTAAAAGAATTCACTGACCTTATTAATATCAGCAAAATAAACTTCCCTTTCAATTAATCTATCAATTGCTTGATCAAACAACATCCATTTCAGAGGAATTTCAGTTCCAACATGAGGTAACTGTAAAGCAAGTTCTTGAATCTTTTTCCTTAGATCAGTTATCATAGAATCAACAGCTAGATCTTCCGGATTTCCCACAAAATAAAATGTGGGATGCACAAGATGGCAATACACTTTATCTTGAATACTTTCTTTAATTTTATTAAACTGATGCTCTACCTATTACAGAAGGAGGAAAAGAAATATGTGAAATTGAAAGGATTTTAGACAAAAGTACAAAATGTGACAACATACATACATAAACAGAATATCTTGGATTCTTATAGTTTTCTTCAAAAGCAGAAATAATTTTCTGTGTTCAATCGTGTTATACTATTTTTGAAGATATATTTTATTATCGGGAGCGCATATGTGTAAACGCTTTACTGGCTTTACATACATGCACAGCAGATGCGTGCATCAAACACGCATGCATAAATTTGTGGCTTTGAGGTCCGGATCATAGATCATTCCGGATAATGGATGTCTGGATTACGAACTTTGTACTGTATTACATACATTTGTATCACACACACATGCAAATTCTTGGCATAAATAACAATGAATATTATTCATTATGTTATATATTTAGGAGTGACAAGGCATCCCTCTGATTAAGTGTAATGATAAGCACTATTTTTGTCTAAATGAATATGTCTATTGCATAAAACAAGAGAAAATCATCAAGTTTTACAAGAGCCCCCATGCATTTCCAAGGAATATCACTGTGATGTGAAGTTACATGCACTTTCATCAATGGTCTGTATTTTTTTAAGATGTAACACTCAATGAGACTTAGCACTGTTTCATCAATGGAAAATGGAAAACACTTCAGTGTTTGCAAATGTTGTAATATCATGGATGCAACAATTTGAATATATGTACTAAACACTAGGGTGTAAATAAAAATGGGTACTAATCCCTACTATTGCTACTGTGTCCCAGAGACTTCGATTTCCTCAGTCATTAGATCACCTTCTACAACTTTTGCGAAGGTCTAAATAACCAAAGTACCAAATTCTATCAGTTATGAAAGACAGCATAAAAGTCATGTTACAAGTACTCCAGTTAGCATATTTGGATGTGCTGCAGAAAACCAAAGGAATCTGTTGAGACAATAATGATAAGAATCACAGGGAGTAATATTAACCCTTTAAATAATTTGTAATGCCCCAATGCTATCTATGAACAAATTTTGTAATTCTCTTGCTGTCTCTCCCTCCCCTCTCAGTAAACAGTGAACACCTTTGAAAAGATGTTGTCTAAAAATCTTTTCATTCCAAACTGTAGAACTTGCTACAAACTTCTGTAAATAATTCTGTAATTTTAATTTCAGCAGCCTGCAAATAAAAGCAAAATAAAAAAATAACAAAAACCATAAAAATTATTTATGTACTCAAAAATGTCGTAAATTAATTCTAAGTTGTTTGTTATACAATGCAGCATGTTGAGCCTTTTTTCCCACATATCCTCAATTACAAGTATATCTATTAAAGAAAAATGAAAATTTAACAAGAATAATTTAAGAGTATTAAAAACTTATTTTATGTCCCTAAATTTAATTTCCCATAAGTATTTTTTTTAATAATTTACCAGCGCAAGTGCTTACAAATTTCTTTTAAGTAAGAAGAACATGATATATACTTATGTTGTAATTTTACAGAACAACTGCTTTCATTTTATTTCTCTTATTTCACAGGCATATTTTCACAATTTATTGATGTAGATGAAAAGATATTTCATAAAAAAGAAAATAAAGGAAAATGTGAAAAGGTAACATCTTACTAAAGTATCAAAAGTTGTAGACTCTTCTTGGATGCCAACAATTAAAACTGGTGGGAAAAGTGTACAAATAATGTCAGTCATTGTTCCTTCTTGTATCTGATTTTTGTCTTCATCTTTCGTATGAGCTATTGAAACATAAATCATTTCCAACCATTTATGAAGCAAAGATAAGTATGAAAAACTGCAGCTGGGCGATAGTTCTAGCTGAAGGAATACATTAAAAAAGTAATTATTATTTTATGATGTGTCTGATTAATGAATTGTATTCCAATATAATTTAATTTTAAATCAAGTTAAAGAACACATGAAATTAAAACTGTTTCAGCAGGATGTATAAAAATCCTTACATTTTATAATTTAACAATCTATCACTAACTTTTTCCTCAAATAAAAAAAAAAGAGGGGAGCAGAAACTTTCTTTTTATGCTGTATTTTGTTATTTATAACACATTTGCTTTAAAATTAAATTGATTTTTAATTTCTACAACAATATTTTCCACAAGTTTGCTAGTTTTGAACATATAAAACTTTAATTGTAATCTGTGACTTAAAAAAAAAAAAAAAAAAAAAAAAAAAAAAAAAAAAAAAAAAAAAAAAAAGATTTAAATTATATAGGATGATTCAGAACTATTGTTCAAAAGTCTGCATATAGGTCAGGAACACTATAGCAAGCAAGAATCATATAGTAACAACAACCCAGATAGCCCAGACATGGAAGAGGGCATGGGATGTCATGAAGAAAACTGGACATAAAGCTGGAGGATGAAGCAACGAAAAGCATATTGAGTGTATGAGCATCAGTAAGGATAGATCGCTACACGAATAGAGAAATGGCAGATATGCACCTCATTTATGCAGTGGCTAATTGCAGTGGAACAGCCATTAGGGAACTATGTTGTTCACAGTTTCCCAACAGAAATATGCCTGCTCATACCATGTTCAGACATCTGCATAAACGATTGATCAAAACTGGATGTTTCAAAGCATGAATGAACAATACTAGAGCTGACAGGACAACACAAACTCATAGCTTGGAGGAAGCTGTGCTGTCAGAAATTGAAAATGACCCACAGATGAGTACTCAGAGTATTGTAGCACATTTATGTGCATCTCAATCCAGCATCTGGTACATCTTACGTGAGACAAATAGCATCCGTATTGGCTGCACTGTGTGCAGGCTCTGTCTGCCAGCGATTACCAACAGTGTAATAAATTATCATCATTTGTGACCTGTTTCGCATCTTTAAGTCTCTGCTTTGTGGGCATGTAACGCGACTGGATTGTGTTTGCGACCATATGTTTCTATATGAGTCTTGTTGGTTATCATGTTTCTGACCTACATGTAGATTTTTTGATAATAGTTCTGAATTACACTGTAGTTTCCCAATTATAACCCATTGGTAAGTGCTGAGGAGATCTGGGTGTTTGAAAGGTTATGAAGGAGCACTGAAAAGCAAGTGAGCAATAAAACAAATGTTGACAAATTTGATTACATAAATACTTTTTGGGAAAAAAAAGGGCTGAATGTTCACTTGGTTATATATATATATATATATATTACCAGCACACATCTTTACAAGAATCATCAAATTATCAGTTGACCCTTCTCACAAGTTAGTCCAAGTTGCATATAACTTTATTTTTCTCTTCTAAGGGACTGGGAATTACAATCAGTCTACTATTTTAGAAATATGACCACAAACCCATATTTGCTGTGATATCCAGTGCACCCAAAAAATGTGTTTTTTCAATATATATACTACTGTGTGTATTATTGCAAGAATCTGCACATGTTTTGCAGGTCCATTACCTTAAGTGTTTTGAAAAATCTCTAATTGTCACTATTCTATTTGCATATTGACTGGTTAGCATTAGCAGCACAAATGAAACAAAAGATATCTAAAACTTTTTATGTGCTCTCAGGGCCTACAGATTTCATTCAAAAGCCATTTAATATGTCATCGCTGTAATAGGAGGGCAACACTGAACAAATTTGACGAGGGCACTAAAAATAACTAAATAAATAAAACCCCAAAAAAGGAGCAGTCAGCCAAAAGAAGTTGGGAACAATTATTTAAATCATAACTTATAATTAGTTATCTTAATAATTTGATTAAAAATTATGGCATTCTGCATTTAAGTAAAATTTATTTTTCTTCATTCAACAAATATATATATAATTTTCATTACACGTCATAAAATATTTTGAATTTGTGATTATAGATTAAGACAAAATATTTATTGTAATAAAAATTTTGAATTTTCTTTATAACTTTTTGTTCTCATGATTTTTATTCATGTGATAATTTTATCTTATTTTTTCAGTAAACCCACTGCAAAAATTGCGTTTTCAAAATGGTATTTAACTTTTCAGTAGCTTTGAATGAATGGAAATTTGACTTACATAATCTGAAGAACATATATTTCTAGAATAAGCCTCACATCTCAGCTTCAAAACTGCAAATTAGTACCAAATAAAACCAGAGTAAAACAAATATTGCATTTAATCAAACATAAGACATCCTTGATTATATTTTAGGTCAGATTTACTTTCCTTACATTTTAAGATAGAATTTAAGAATTAAATATGAAGGTAAATAGCTATTTGTCTAGTAATAATTCTGAGAAAAAGAATCTTAGTTTATTATTCTTTCTCTAGAATTTCCTTAAAATAAAAACATTGTTAAGCTGCTACTCAAACACAAAGAAAAGTAAGTAAAGGTTAGTTATATAGTTATTTATTTGTTTTCAGGCATGTTAGTAAAATGGATACAGGCTTAAATTGAAATGACTCAGCTAGACTGATTATTATAATTAGTGGTAGTTATGTACATTACTTTCAAGCTATGGCTCAATCCACAAATATTCTATTAAAAATCTTTTCCTATCAAAAATGTGTCAAATTATTAAAAGGTATGTTGTTTTTAAACGAATAGTTTGTTACACTAATGAGAAAGTATTATAATTTAAAATATTAGTTTAACATCTCATGCTTCATGAATCAGCATTAGCTATATCAGAAATCTATTAGTTATATATTTATATCAGTTATGTATTGATATATACAGTAATTATGTTGGTAGTTTATTTTGTAACAGTATAATTATTCTATGCAGTATGATAATCAAATTACTTCCTCTCATTCTGCAGTTTCACTTCCAAAATATCTGTTTACCTTTTTAATTTTAGAGCAAAAATATAGAAGGGAGAGAAGGTCTTTTTTCTATTAGGTATGGTAATTTACCTAATTAATAAAATAATGAATGTTTATATTGCGATCTAATTTAACGATAAGCAGTAATTTTGTATGCAAAAACATTAATGTACATGTTTCACTATAGATGCCATTATGAAGCAATTTTTATTTGCATATAATACATATAAAGGTTACTCAATTTATTTACATAATTAGTACAAGAAAATGTTTTACATAATGCCGTTAGAATTTTTAATGAAATACTTCTGATTTTTTAACATTTATAATACATCAGGATTTCTGATATAGCTAATACTGATTCATGAAGAATAAGATGCTAAACTAGTATTTTAAATTACAATGTCTTTCTCATCAGTGTAATACACTATTCATTTAAAAACAATGTACCTTTTAATATTTTGATACATTTTTGATAGAAAAATTTTTTAATAGAATATTTGCTGATTGAGCCATAGCTTGAAAGTTCTTTTTTTTGGGGGGGGGTGCATTGTTGTTTCATACTCTTCTTTCAGGTTTAGATCTTTAATATTATTTTACTAAAACCATCTTCTTATCACTTTTGAGAATAAATTCATCATCATATACATGTCCCAATACAGACATACAACAATTTACATATTGCTATCAGTTTTTACTTTGTACATCAGATACCTATTGATGAAAATGAACTGGAATTACACAATTCATATTTTTCAAATTAAAATCTTTATAATTCTTGCTTTTTACATACAGTGAATTTAATTTTTCATTCTGCTTACATTGTGATAACATTTCATATTGAATACAATAAAATGTTCTCAAGGACTGAAAATCAATTTAAATATTTAATAGTGTATTATAATAAGTAACAGATGCACTTACTCCAAAATCTTCTGCATTTTGAATTGGTGTATCCAAATCTTGAGCCAAATCAAATACAAATAAGTATATTGTTTGTGGTGAGAGAAAAAGCTGTAAAATAAAATGTCATAGAATTAAATTTCTGAAGTAGATAATTTATTTTTAGTGATTTGAATTTTATTTGTATTTATATCAAATAAATGTAATTACAAATAAAATATAAATCTCCAAAAATATAATGTCCACTTCAAGAGCATTATTTATAACCTTACATAATTAACTTTGTTAATAAGATAAGAATTTGGACTATTAAATGCAGATAAATATTGTTTAAATAAAAATAATTTTAAAAAGTAACATTTGAATTATTTTTAAAGCAACCTCAAATTGCAGTTCATAATTATTGCATATTTTGTATACCTGATGTAAAAGAAGATTTTTCCAATGACCACTATAATTCCAGATATTGAAAACTAAAACAACATTATCTGTAATCAGTTTCTCAGTATCCTTTTTCTCCAAAAATAGCTTACATTCAGATTCCTTGAGCATAGCTTCAACTAATTCTACAACACGACTTGGAAGGTCATTAGGAAGATCATCATTATTATTATTGGAAGTGTTTGTAAATTCTTTAGAACTCTAAAAAGAAACATGGGCAATATTTTAACCACTTTTACCAGACTATATCTCTTTCAATATATTCAAAAATTAATCAAAAATCACATATTACTTTAAATAACACAATAACAGTTTGATAAATTTTGAAGAAGCATATCATATTTTTTTCAAAATACACATTTAAAATTTCAAAATAATTTTATAATTAATTAAGGCATTAGAAAATTAAACTATGAAATATGCATAGTAAATTCAAATTTTAAATCCTGATTTTATACTCAGTTTTCACATTTCTCTTTTATTTTTAGACAAACATAAAACATTATTAATTTAAATGTAATAAGAAAATATTACATTTTTAATGCAGGATAACTAAAAGACTCAATTTCTAAAAATTTTGCAACTAAGTAAATTATTTCTGTTTCAAGCATGTAATCTTCATCTGTGACCCTTTCATATTAGCAGATACTTTTCAAAGTCAAATTTCAATGTTTGTAATAGATTGTTTAATAAACATTACACACTTCTTAAAATAATATTGATTCAAAAGTAAAAAATCCTGCTTCTTAAAAGCTATTGCATTAAAATGAAAACAGAAGAGGTGTGCAAATGAAATAGTTTCATTCTTGATGTATCTTACAGTTTGGTTGGCTTTGGTAGCATAAACTGGTATCAAACTCCTAACAAATATACAGCAAATTATTGCTATATTTGGATAGAACTACAATCTTAAGAATTTTTAATTAAATCAGAACTGGAACATAATATTAAAAACTGTGACTTATGTCACTTATCTCACATTAACATCAGCACAAGCCCACGAAATTTTTTGTGGCAAGGAATGCAAGACTGTGCTGTTGTTGGCAAGACCCTTGAGAACCATACAGATGACAGTGTGACTTTACTCAGGTCCGCCCCAATTTTGATGGAGAGCACCCCAGAGGGAGAACGGGTCTGAGGGTCTTGCACCCCTCTTCCCCTACCAACCTCTCAAGAGGACTTTTGGCTCACCACATATTTAGAGTGCCCCTATGCCACACATACACTATAAATTTACAAACATCTATGTCTTCTGCAAAGCTGCCTCAAAACCTCTCACAGGTGCAACAATTTAAATGCCAGCAACTGTAATACAAAGCTGAATAATACAGTCTTAGCCGAGCTAGCAAAACTTAGTTATGTGACCTTGAGACACAGAAACACAAGCTGTCTTACAGTCTAACAACCTCAAATTAAGTCTCAATCTAATTTGCATTCTGGTGAGGAAACAGAAAGAAGAAGTGACAGTTAAGCTCTAAATAATAAAATAACTAGTTATGCAAAATAATAATAACTTTACAATTTTTTGAAAGATAATTCAGTCATTTAAATATCTTCTTTAATGTAACTCTAAGTAAATACCATCTCTATTCCAAAAATACTACTTATATTTCCTCAATGAAAACAAATTCCCTAAATATGAGTACTATATTGATAGTATTTTTTAAACATAAAGGTTAGAAATGTGTAATAATTTTTTTGAAATATTTTTCTAAAGTGAGGCAGTACGTATAAGATGATTACAGTTTCAAAAGAGTATTTTAAATGGAAAAAATATAGCCTTATAACTGAACCAATAAAAAATAGCGTTTTCCCCATTTCCCCACTTCTGAAACCATATCCCACATATGAAGAGCCTCATTTTAAAATTAAAATTACAGGAAAATATTTTAAACTTTCAGAAATTTACTTTATTTCAAACATAGTTATTGTTTTCTCATTGTTGAAAGCTACTGATTGTTTCTTGTAAATAAACATAATACCTTTCAATTATCTACTTCACCTATACTCAAAAGATTCATTTTGCAGTTGGTCTCAATGCATATGGCACATATAAAAGAATTATGAACCCTGGATTCATTTCATATACAAGTAAATATTCTAGACATCGTATCTAAGGAGCTTTTTATAGTTCATGCACTAAATAGAATAATTTCTCTGATTTAACTGACTTCAACTTTCCATTATTTCAACTTAACTTATTCACAAACATGTATTAAGTAATATTTGTAATCTAGCAGAAGTTGACAATAGTATCTCCAATGTTTTTAAATACTCAAAATTATATATTTGGAAAGGAATAATATTCAAAACTATTATTCCTTTCCAAAAACATAAAATGAAAGTTTAAATGTTCAGAAATGTAAATTATGAAAACGCTGAACATCTGAGAAAGGAGCAGAACCACGAATAAAAAAAGTAAATCAGATTGAGGAAGCTCAAATTTCTACAGGAAAATCTATAACTGAAAAAGTACTAACTGATTTCTTAAACATGAAGATTATATTTTAAATTGTAAATACATGAATTTTAATAAAAACTAACATTCCATAAGAGAACATATAACATATATAATGCAGATTAAGACAGCAGCATTTTAAACATATTCTGATATTTTCTGAAAGTTCAATAAAGATTAAACTCGTTTATTAAATGCCTGCTTTTAATACTTAATCAAGAAATAACATGTAAAGAAATAATCTTGGGCAGAGATTTAAAATTGGAATTTTGGAATTAGTTCAGGTTCCTGGCTTGTATATAACAAACAAAGTATCAGAAAAATACATGTACATCATACATGCAAGTCTTTAAGCATTACACTGTTGCTCTAAACATGACATCTAAACTGCTGGAAGATTTAAAAATATAAAATCTAGTTGTAAGGTAACACCAGAAATAATAGCTCTAGATACTATTGATTAAAACTGATAAAAATAAATCAAAGTTCAGCAAAGCATTGTTTTAATTTTTGTAAGAATTATATGTTTTCATGCCCAAAGCCTCTTGAAAGAAAATCTTTCCATATCAATTGCTAAAATTTTCTATCTACTTCACCACAGAAAACATGCTCTGTGGAATTAAAAATTTTACTGAAATGTGTTTTATTTATTTATTTTTTTTCAGTGCCCACTGTGAAAACTTTAGTTTCATATGATTTATCTGTTACAATAGCAGGAGATTATGTATACATAAAAATAAGCAAGATTAAATAATTAATCTCTAACAGTCTCCAAATAAAATACTTTACTTTTAAAAAAATACTTACAACATACCTTAAAAAATATATTTTCTTTAAAAAAGGACTTATGACTAAAGGATTTAAAAAAAAAAAAAAAAAAAAAAAGAGATTTAAGATTTTAAGATCACCAAAAAGGATTTTACCAATTTTTTTTTTTTTTTTTTTTTTTTTTTTTTTTTTTTTTAGGGAAAGGATTTTAAGATTCTGCATCTTTTAAAAAAGTATACCTGTTTCCATAGAAGTAGTTTGAGGTAAATATGTCAGATTACCAAATAGATAATTTAATTTAACACATTTTATTGCACCCTTACCCTTCTCCAACTTTTATCACTAACGAAGATGAGAATGCAGTACAGAACCGACACTGCATAGAACTTACAGGCTTTCTGCTTGCACATGATCAACAAAGCAACTCAAAAACTAGTTTCAGTTCTATGCCAGGGTCAGTCTTATGCAATGTTGATCCTATGAATGTACTCCAGACAGTAATAATTTAATTAAATTCTTCCTTTCTTGATTATGTGCTGTGCTCAATTATAATCTTTGGCTACATTGTATAATGCCCATTGCATGCCAGTGCCATTACTATGTTACGTCATGATGGTGTCAACCCTATGGTAGTGTTAAGTATGTGCCCATGACAATTTTGTAAAGATGACAAATGTGTATTAATCCTCTTACTCATTATTATAAAAATTTATATTTCATCATATCAAATACATGCCAGAAGATAGTGCCAGTCTTATGCCATTGTTATTTCTGTGCCAGCGTCAGTTTTTTTACAAAAGCAGAAAATACAAATGAAAATATATGAAAAGAAAATGTTTTAAAATGAAAAAAAAAATGTAATGATTATACAAAATTACAGAAAATACCTTAAATAACGAGTGGATATAATTATGCAGCACAGTGTATGCCAGAAATGGCATATATTATATCCTTCTTCATTCTCATCAATTCATTAGCTGAAAGGTTATTAATACAACAAAAAAATTCAAAATTAAATTTTCTTTCCACTTAAGAGGATTATTATTAAATCTAAATTATGTCATATAATCAAAAAATATCTTGCATCTATCATCTTTTAATGGAGAATGGAATAACAAGACTTCAGCCTACTGTACTGATATTAAACAATATAATACATAATAATAAATTTATTGAAAATGGACAGCACTTTCAAATAAATGTTTAAATTTTAGGCTATGAACAACGTGTTAAGCTGAAACCCTAATTCTCAGAGAGAGAAAGACTATTGTTAAGGGCGATTATGAGAAGCAAAACTTGCATTTTTCTTTGAATAAATAAACAAGTAAATAGAAAGAACAAGGGATTCACAAAATAATAAAGGACTTGTAGAAGCCTCCCTCCCTCCCATAGCTCACCACTAGTTGTTCAATCAAATTGATAGGATATCAAGCATGATCAACAAATGCTCAGTAACAAAAACATAATTCTGAATTTTTTGCAGCAATGGCTATAAGTATTAGGTGATTCAGAGTTTGAAAGAAGAATGTGTGAAGGAAAATGACAATTATGTGAGAGACAAGTCTGATGAGAGTCATGACAACAACATGAGAGATAAGTCAGCTTTACCATCAGACTTGTCAAATAAATTCAGACAGACAGATCTTCCTCTTAATAGATAAATATTCTTTAAGAAAATTCAGTACTTTTCAATTTCGCTGGTGCAAATCTCGCCAAGCAGACTTTTTTGGTGACAACATACAGTATACAAATGAAAAATGTTAAAAAATGTTAGTTCTAAGAAATTTTTATTTTGAAGGAATAAACATTTTAATATCATTTAAAATTTTGTAAAAAGAAAATAAATAAAGCCGATAAATTTGTAAAAAGACATTAATTTAAGAATTTACTGGATGCTTTCATGGTACAACATCTTGATTCGCCGTTTCATATCTTGTGATCCCAAGTAATCTCATCTCACGTAAACTATGCTACAAAATTCTAATTCTCTCAGTAATTATCTACATTAATTTCAAGTTAAATCTTAATTTGGAATACAAATTTAAATGCAAGAATTATTTCAATTCATATGAATAGCTTACTCACAAATTATGTAAAACAGCAGTGCTTTACTTCGCTGATGCATTCTCATTAGAACTGGTGAATTTAACCCTTTTTGCATTTTCAACTTTGCATTTTCTATATTTTTGCCTTCGGATGAGCAATGTGATTGCATCCTAATTGACTAATTACCGCAAATGGCCTTAGGGTCTAAAATTGAACTATCTGGGTAAAAATTCTATGTAATTGTATGCCAGTATTGAAAGAAACAATCAATATGATAAGAAAAGGCTGCGACTTTTTTTGAAATGAGGCATAATAGGTTACCAGCAAGGATATTCCATTTGGCTTCCGTTGTACCATTTTTGGCGATTTTATCGCTTGCACCGGCAAAATGGAAAAGTATCGAAAATTCTAGAAATTGATTCTTATACTTATGCTTGATAATGTTTCCTCAAACTTTTCAGGTAAAAACTTTCAATTTGTTAAGAAGATTACTACTAATTTAATGAATGAATTAAAAACAGTATCACATATATTCACCCATTCACAACCCAGATGCAAATATATCAAATATTTGAGAGTAGTGCACAAAGAAAGTTGTTATCAAAACTGATTTTAACATGCCAATATATTTCATGGGTATTGTGCAATTAAAATTAGTAATAAATAAGGAATTCCTTAAATAATAAAAAAAATATTATTTTAAATTTAAGTGACGGGCTATCCAATTTGCACCCAAAATGTATAAATAATTAAACAGGCAATCCAAATTATATTGAAAATTTTAAATTTCAAATACCGATAATTGAAGTTATATAAAATTATTACAATCTATTTAAATAGGCTACATCTATAAACTATACAAATACAAAGCATTTTTAAATAATTATGTAAAACAACAACAAGCATTTTATAAAGAACACAAATACGCACTTATTCAATTAAAATATAAAAGCTGAAAAGAATGCATTAGAGAATATTCTGTTGAAATTAAGCAAACTATAGTAATTACAGAGGAATCATCTTGTTTATTCTGCCCTTTAGAAGCTCCAATTTTGGTTAAACTTGACTGCAGTCTAAATGTATTTTTAGTTGTAGGTGTTTTCCGTCTATCATCTTTAATCCTCTTTTTCTGGAGACACATCTCTCGTACAATATTTATAGCAATTGCTTTGAAGTACTCTTCATCAGCTACAATGACTGTAAAAATAATAATTAAAGCATATTAAAATAAATTTTTACTAGTTTTTATTTTATTTATAAATTTTAATTATAAGGCTATAAAAAAAATCAAAATAGCAAGATACAAGAAACAAACTATTTGTTACTTGTATTAAAGTAATTTTTATTTTATTAATTATTAATAAAATTATTTGAAATTCCTTAATAAATATTAAGTATTTTATTAAATAATTTATTATTAAGTAAATTGTTACTTGCATTAAATAGCAAGTTAAACATCTTAAGTATTTGCTCAATTGCTAATTTAAACAACTTAGGTAGATGCAGTAACTTAAACAAAATAATTGTATTAAGTACATATAGTAAGAATTTAGAAATTTATGCCAATAATTAATATAAAAACAGTAGTAATATGTACAGCAAAACAAAATTCAATTAGTAAAACCGATTGCTTAATTTTTTACTTATTAAATCAATAACAACATTCTTGCACAATATACACTTATTAATACGTCCATTTTTCATTGTGTTTTTTTTTTTTTTTTTTAATTATTATTATTATTTTAGCATGTTCTAGTTCAATGTTTAATAAATAATTTCAAAGAATATATTAATAGATATTGTAATAATCCTTTATTCATGCAATAGCACTTTTCCCGTGATTAAAATATCAAGAAAAGATGCAGATTACATTCCAAAACTTCCAAGTTTAACAATTTAAAATATTTACCTTCCTTCTCAATATTTGCTCTAAATTTAAGCTTCAACTTAATTCAAAATAAAATATTTAGTTACACAAATGCAAAACAAAATCTTCATGTATTTAAAACAAAATATTTAATCATTTTTTTATTTGTTCCGATTGATAAAAATCTGTCATTGTTAAATACAGTATAAGAAATATGTTTATAAATACCTTGAGTTGGCTCTTCGTCTTGCTTAATTTCATCATCACAGACACTTATGTTTTCAGTTGGTTGATTATTATTGGCATCTTCTAAGCAAGAGCAAATTTTCTTTTTTACAAGTGTCCATGGCTCTCCATCAGAGATTTCAGATGTCTGACAAAGACAGTTTGTTTCTATTCCCTCGCATTCACTTTCGGATGTATCACTATGGGAGAGAAATTGAAAATTAAATTTAAAAAATGTAGTATTCATGTTCGTATTTACAATAGATCAGTTGAAAATCTAAAACAAAATAAGGTATTTTCTAATTATCTGCATTCTGGATTTGTTGAACCTCTGCTTTTTCACACACTTTTTACACATCTCATATACTTGTTTGAGTGCATGTTGATTTACATGCTTTATATTTAGCTGTCATTTTGCTGAATGTATGCAATGGCTACATAAATGTAAAGGCTGGCCATGTAGGAATTTGTTCATTCATATAAAATATTTTATCTCTTATAATATTATTGTTTTTATTATTATTTATGAAGGCAACAATACCTGTGAAGCACTAACATAATGTTTTTCATGAATTCATTAAGTCATCAATACTCACTGGCAATTTTTTGTGGGGGTGTGGATAATCAGAAAGTACCAAAAATAACAACAGAAAATGAAAAATGGAAGGTGAAAATACAGAATGTAAAAGGTTTCTATCCATATGTGCTATTTTTGTCCATTGTTTTAACAGTCATCAAACGTATAAATTTTAAAGTTGTCCCATTTAAAAAAACTCATTAAGGTTTATCTTCGGTACTTATATATTAATGCAACACCTTGGCACAAAGTGCAAGTTGGTGGTTTTTGTGCCTTTAAAAAAAAAAAAAAAAAAAAAAATACCCAACCTATTGATATTTATTATAAGTCAATAAATATTCACAACATATGAAAAGAAAATGAATTATTAAATAAGGATCACATGATACATTAAAAAATAAGACACTTTTATTCCTCTTCCAATCTTTCTGTATTTTTTTTTCCGTTAATCTTCTCCCCAAGTATGCAGCAATCTGTTTTTGCCTAAAATAACATTGGAGGATTGTGAAGACTCAGCTTCGTGCAATCCTCAATAACAGTGACTATCTAGGAATGCATTTCCTTGTTTCCTTTAGAAAAGTTTTAGCAAGATTCTGTATTCCCACAGAAATTTTACATCAGTTTTACAGCTATTGCTGGCAAATTCCACAAGCTCATATTTTAAAACTAAGCTTAAGGCAAAACAAATATGACATTTTGTCTATCCTGCTTTACAGTGAAAATATACAAATGGCGGCACTTCAAGGATGTTACAACTGGCCAGAAAAAATTATTGCATGTTGCAGAGGGTATAAAAAGCCTTCTACTATCTAACTTCCCTTTCTTCATGACCCCACTTGGGGTCTAACGTAAAAGTATAAAAATAAAACTAAACTCTAATTTAACTTTAGAATAATAAACGTGGAAGATTGGCCTTATATTAACAGGAAGCGTATGTAGTACAGAGACTGTGAACACTACAATACGTTTAAATTTATCAAGAGGATTAAAACCTCTGGCCTGGAAGGCAAACAGCAACTAAGTAACTTCTAAGGTAAGCGGCCTGCTTTGACTCACTGCTTCCTCTCTCCCGCTTGGCAAAAAGGCCACAACTTAAATACTTGGCGTTCGCCAGACAAACTTTGCATAAAAACTTTAACGCTTATAATTCTGGCCGGAAGTAGAAAATAAGAAGTGATAGTAAAGATTTAAAAATAAATAAACGTTAGTAAAACTTAAGATCCTTACATACTTCCCGCCAGAGTTAATTAGTTTGAAACTGAGGTCTAAAACGACCTTGTTGAAAACTTTTAGCTCTAGAATCTAACGCGAGGCCAATCTTTTACAAACATAACTTACTTCGCTAGAAACTAGAAATTTAAAAGAAAGAAATTTGTTACAATAGCAGCTCCCAGGATATACAACAATTTTTTTCATCTGTACTGCATCTAAACAGGAGCTTTTATTCAATTCTGGTTCCTTCCAGAGATCTGGAAGGAAAACTAGTTTAATGAAATGTTACACAATGAAATGGCAAGTAACATATACAATTATACTTCTCTTAACATTCTTATTTCATTCATGACTATTTTAATTATCTCTCCCCGTGCTCTCTGACATGTGTTGTAAAAGAACACCAAACACGAATGTGTTTCTGTCTACGTGTTGCCACACTTCCTCCTACAATCAAAACACTAACGTGTTAAAATTCAACATAACGAGACCTCTTAACACACCCTAATTTCAACTCTAAACCCTGAGGTACTATTCTAAAAGTGGCTAACTCTAAAGTGTAGCGTCAGAGAGCCTAACTACACATCATTCAACCTTTAACACATATTCGCCATGATTTAGTCTTTTTACAGTCACACGAATAAACAAATTTTTTAACATTACTTTCACTTTTACCATATCACGGTATTTCTTAACATTTAAAATAACAGTTCACATTGTATATAAGAACATATCAACATGCCGTTAATTTTACACATTTGAAAACATACATTAGTAGTACATTGTTAACTTCTATTCTTTTCAAAGCAAGTGCCAATTCTTTCTACATTGAAATAATACATTTCAAAAAGTCTTTCAGACTAAAACTTCTCTCTTGCTAGAATGTTTTAAATAAAATTTATACAATAACTTTTTACAATATTTAAGTCTTTACACAACGCTATTATACATCAACTTTAGTTTTACGCGCGAGTAATTGAAAAACATAATACCAAAATCGGTCACAACTCATTTCTCGCCCTTTTGGCGATAAAGGTAGACCTCGCATGAGGTAAAACTTCTTGAAATCTGCCACTTGCAGTAAGAATGAAAGATTAACTTAAGTTTGCAAAGTAACATAAAATTTTACTTATCTTTGTAATATTCGGACATCCTTTTCTGGGCCCAGTCTTTAAAGGTACTGCAGATAGTAGTTTGATTTATCCTCCTTCTTGTACGGGCTCGCCCTTCAGTGCTTTCCTCTGGAAGCTTCCTTTTTTTTTTTCACCAGTTCGGCGGCCACCCTTGAATACCTTCCTTTTCTCCTCTGCTTGTGGTCTTGGCCGTTTGATGGCAGCTGGTCTTGGCGGAACCGGGAAACTTCTGTCGTGTTCCTGCTTGGACCTCGTTGTTGGCCGTTCAAATTTTCCTTGTAACTTTTTCCTCCGCCGCTGATGGCCCTTCCGCAGTTCGGCGACTTTTGCTGCGGAGAGTTCTGTCGGATGAGTAGATCTTCCGTTTTAGAGCCGGGTTATAGTTGCCGTCATTTCTCCTGGTTCTCTTCACATACGTCGTCCTTCTCCCTTCTTCATTCTGGGGGTGTTCGTGAACTCTCTTTTCTGGACGGTGGAACGGCTTCTTTTTCTTGTTACCTTCAATTTTTCCGCGGGGCAATTTTCTTTTCACTTGCTTCTGTCTCTCATTGGCTTGCCCTTGTACTTGTCGTTTTTCCACCTCTGGAGCTTGTACCTGCGGTGTCTGCCGTGCCGGATCCTGCAAAAGATCTGAAAAGATTTGCATTTTATTACGATCGAAGTAGGGCTTGATTTGATCAATGTTTGCGGAACAGGTTTCACCATTTCTGGCTTTTAACACTACTACAGCGTGAGTTATTTTTTCTATAACATATGGTCCTTCAAATCGTGGAAAAAATTTGGCAGTTTTATCTTCTGGTGCTGAAGAAAGTGAATGCTTAATTTTTAAAACTTCATCCCCTACTTTATAAGTTACTCCCCGTCGTTTCAAATCATAATAGAGCTTCTGTTTTCTTTGTGCTACTTCCGTATTCTTTTTTGCTTTTTTTTATTAGTTTTTCTATATCACCCATTTTAAATTCTGGGGCTCTTTGTTGCACATAAAATAATTTATCTAACGGTGTTATAATCTTTCTGCCTAGAAATAACTCAGCAGGAGTTTTGCCCGTTGTATCATGTTTTGCGGTCCTAAGGGCGAAAGCAAATTCATTGACATAGTTATCCCAGCTTTTATGAAAATTTTTAACATAATAACTACGGATAATTTTCACTATATTTCTATTGACCCGTTCCGCTATATTTGATTGCGGCCGATACGGGACCATTTTTAAATGACGTATGCCCAGTTTTTGGCACATGTCTTCAAATATATTACTTACAAATTGAGGACCATTATCCGATATAACTTTTAGGGGCGCCCCGTATTTTAAAATATATTTATTTAAAATAGAATCAGTAACTAATTTCGCGGAGGCTCGTTTTAAGGGAACAATTTCGGTCCATTTACTAAAATGATCAACCATAACAAGGAGATAGCGACTTTTATTTAACTGACTTTTTGGGAAAGGGCCCAATAAATCGATGCCAATTATTTCATTTGGAAATTCGGATTTAATACTATTTAGAAACCCGGCCGGGCGGAAATTAATATAATTAACTGCTTGACATGTTGGGCAGGACTGGACATACGCCCTTGTTAACTTTTGCAGTTCAGGAAAGTAGACTGCCTCGCGTACGCGTTGGATAGTTTTTCGAATACCAGCATGAGAAGCTAAAGGGCTGTCATGGAGCTCCTGCAGGATATTTAATCTAAGACTAGCTGGGATAACAGGTCGAAATTCGTTGTTGGAATTCGTAGTTTTTGTATAAAATAATAGACCATCTATTAGTTCGTAATGGGCCGCCCTATTTCTTATCGCCACAATATCTTGGTGGCTAAAATTTTCAGGATCCTTCAAATACTCATAAATGCTTCCAAACTCAGGATCCTTACCCAGTTCGGTTATTACAGTTTCTCGGGAATTTATTGTACATGCTGTAAGCATTGCCACCTTTACGGTATTGCCTTGTTCGTCTATTTTAATTCTTGATAGGGCATCTGCTACGATATTTTCCTTTCCAGGGGTATGCTTGATTACCAGATTATATTCTTGCAGCTTGAGTGCCCATCTTATTAACCTTGGGGATAAATTTTTCCCTGAGTACAATCTAGTTACCGCACCGCCGCATGATCAGAGTACACTGTTATCGGCGCCTTTCCAAAATAGACTCGGAACTTTTGCACTGCTAACAGAACTGCAAGTGCCTCTCTCTCGGTCGCGGAATAGTTTCTTTTCTTTGTGTTTGATTTAAAGTTCGGCTAAAAAATGCCACGGGCTGCTGATTTTGCGAAAGTACCGCTCCTACCGCATAATCCGAAGCATCCGCTGAAATTTCTAAATTCTCATCCTTTTCAGGAAATTTCAACACAGGGGCTTGCGTTAATGCTTGTTTTAATTTTTCGAAAGCACTATTGGCTTCGGCCGTCCACGAGAATCTTGCCTTTTTCCTTTTTAATTTTAACAATGGCTCAGCGATAGCCGCAAAATCTTTTATAAAGGACCTATAATATGAACAAAGTCCTAGAAAAGAAGAGAGCTTCTTCTTTGCCGTGTTTGGAGTCGGATACTTTTGTACAGCGATTATTTTTGATTCATCTGTCTCGATCCCTTTTTGAGATATTTTGTAACCTAAATATTTTAATTCAGGGGCTGCAAATTTGCACTTTTCGACATTAACTTTTAGACCGGCCTCATTTAATAAAGAAAACACCTGTCTTAAATCCTGTACATGTTGGTCGAGATTATCACTAGTAATAATGATATCGTCTAAATAGATAAATGTGGACTTTCCAAGAACAGGTCTTAACACAATGTCCATGCATCGCTGAAATGTTGCCGGGGCCCCTGAAAGGCCAAACGGCATACGCAAAAATGCATAAGTGCCAGACTTGGTTATAAAAGCAGTCTTAGGCACGTCCTCAGGCCTCACCCCTATTTGAAAATAACCAGTCGTTAAGTCTAAAGTCGTCTAAAAGTCTAAAGTCGTCATAAATTTGGTTGATTTTATGTTCCTTAAAATTTCTTCTATGATCGGTAACGGATATACCGGATATTTCGTTATGGAATTTAATTTACGGTAATCAATAGCGAATCTCCACCTTTTTGGATGCTCCAAAGGATAGTCATTATTTTTCTTACATAAAACCACCGGGCTAGCATAACTACTTGAGATGGGCGTTATGATCTTTTTACGTAGCATATCGGTAATATGCCATTCTATAATTTTTTCCTTATTCTTATCATACCGGTATGGTTTTTGACGAACTGGCATTGCATCTCCGGTGTCAATACTATGGTTAGTAACCTGAGTAAATCCTGGAATATCACTAAATAACGAAGCAAATTCACTTACCACTTGTCGGATTCTATCTTGCTCGTCATTAGGCAGGTGGTCAAGTTTTAACATCGGCGGTTCAGCGTTTTCAGTACGAACTGGTTTCATTGTCAGCTTAAGGGACGCTTCATTAAAATCCAGCGTAGCTTGTGCTTCTGAAAGAAAATCTATTCCTAAAATTAAATGTGCTTGCAGATTCTTTACTATAAAAAACATCACCTTTACTTGTTCGTCCTTGATACGGATATACAAAGGTACTTTACCTACGCACTTACATTTTTCTCCTTGCGCCGCTAACACTGTCGTATTATCCGCATTATATATGCGGTATTTGCGAAAATACTTCCTAAAAAACTCTTCTGCCACACAGGAACACTGCGCGCCGGTATCCAGGAGTGCGGTGGCTGGGATATTATTCACCAAGACTTCAATCTTCGGAAGAGTCAAATTTTTCACCATTACTGTATTTAACTTGTAGGAAGAGGGGTTTTCGTGGCCTTCGGATTTCCGCACCCTCTCGTCAGCAGAAATCCGTTTTAGTTTAAATTATTTTTCCTTTCCGTGCTTTCCTTCTTTTTCCCCTGGCCTTGAGACTTTTTTCCTGGGTTGCTATTGAACTGTCGACGTTCGCCGGCTGTTTTTGAATGCTCGGGTTTCCTTGCCCACTGATTCGCTTTTTTTCTCCGTAGCCGTGTGCTTGAGTTTGCTGTAGTCTTGGCGTACCAAATTGGTTTCGCTGTTGATATTGGCGTCTTCTTTCGACGTCCGCCGTTCTTCTTCTACTTTCAAACTGGATTGCTAGCTCAAATAACTTTTCCAGTGTAGTCGGATTTCTTAATTCAATAAAGTCTTGCACTTGGGGCAGTAACCTCGGCAAAATCACTTGAATTATTTCAGGATCCGGACGGTTTCCATACAAGAGCTTGAAAACGTGAATTTTTCTTAAAATAAAGCTCGAGAGGTTTTCGATTCTTTGTTGATATATACTGAAAAGTTCCGTTTCTAATTTCGCACGATCCCTTACAACAGGGAAGGCTTTTAGTAGGGCAGTCTTGAAATTTTCGTAAGTATAGGTGGGACTTCCTGCTTGACCCAAGAGACTTCTGCCTATACATTTGAACCAGTTAAGCGCTTGGCCCCTCAAAGCGCTGGTAGCTAAGGTAACTTTTTGAAACTCGTGCACGGGGTAGAGCATGAAGTGGTCATCCAATTTTTCCAAAAAACTGGTTACCGGTGAGTTTCCATTAAATGTTGCTTCTGGTTTCATCGAAGCGCGCATGGTCTGGACGATGTAACCAAATCCTTCCAGGGCGGCAGCTGGCATTTCTGGATTCTGAGCCGTTTCTGCAGGCAGCACAGGTTCTTCTTGAAACTCGGCCATGGTTATTCTTCTTCGTTGGGCGCCACTATCAGGGTCAATGTTCCTTCTAACCTTCTTCGGGAACATACAAGGACCTGACTCGGAACAGAGAGCTTACTAAAGCTATGTTCACTAATTGTGGTAAGTAGACAGGATACAGACGAAGGGTATACAAAACCCTTTATTTTTCTCTATATACAATAACTTCCGTACTTCGGAATACACTGACCCGCCACTTGGGGTCTAACGTAAAAGTATAAAAATAAAACTAAACTCTAATTTAACTTTAGAATAATAAACGTGGAAGATTGGCCTTATAATAACAGGAAGCGTATGTAGCACAGAGACTGTGAACACTACAATACGTTTAAATTTATCAAGAGGATTAAAACCTCTGGCCTGGAAGGCAAACAGCAACTGCGTAACTTCTAAGGTAAGCGGCCTGCTTTGACTCACTGCTTCCTCTCTCTCTCGCTTGGCAAAAAGGCCACAACTTAAATACTTGGCGTTCGCCAGACAAACTTTGCATAAAAACCTTAACGCTTATAATTCTGGCCGGAAGTAGAAAATAAGAAGTGATAGTAAAGATTTAAAATAAAATAAACGTTAGTAAAACTTAAGATCCTTACAACAAAGTTACTAAAAACGTGATTTTTATGAAAAAGAAGAACTTTAATACTTTTGGGATGCAATGTTCATTTTGTTTTTAATAAAACTTTCATTAGAAGTTTAATATATAATATGGTGCTATATTCATGTCTAACTCACAAGGGAAACGATTCAGATATACTTTTATACCATAGTTTTTAATGAAAAGTAATTTAATACAGAAATAAAAACAATTTTGGGTACTTTCATTATCTGCAGCCCCAGTTTCTACAATCTCACAGGACTATCTTGCTTTGGATATATTTTCAAATATACAAACAACAATAGCCAACTATATGTAAAGTGTTCATTTTTATTGTTATTTGTGAATATAACAGAACTTATGACGGTAAAGATAGTCAAACAAATGTTTTATGCCAATTCACAAAGTTGTCGAATGTATTAGCTTCTTTTTGTGTGGCTGCAGACGACCAGAGAATATCCAATTTTGATTTTATCACTTTTTTATAAGCATACATTAAAAATTTAAGAAATATTTTTACACTTGAAAACTTAAATATTCCAACAACTTGTGCTTTTTCATTAAAAATATATAGGCAATTTTATGATTAACAAAAATTTGTTATGAAATATTTTGCATGCTTTGGCCTTTTTTTCATAACAAAAATTTGTTATGAAATATTTGCTCTAAATTTAAGCTTCAACTTAAGTTTAAGTAAAACAATCAATTAAATTTTTAATTTATTACAATTTACTGAATTTTGAAATTTCAAGCATCTTAATAGCAAATTTACAACATAATTCTGATATAAATGAAGCATTGATGGTAACACAGAAAAACTAGTCTTAAATTATATCTTTCAAAAAGTGTTTAAATTTTCCTAAATCATTAAAAATATAAATTATTCAGAGTGTTGCTTATGATGCTTAAAATTTACAAAAAGAATACACAGATTAGATGAATAAAAATACTGTAACTACAAAACCATAAGCACTTAATGAATAATCATTCCATAAAAAAATGAGACCTTATAAACAAAATCTAAAAATACAGAAATATAGATATTTCAAATATATGATCTTGTTACATAGCTTAAACTTTAAATGGCTATAAATAACATAGTATACCATGATTTAACAAGCAATTTCTTCAGAACTGTTTTCTTTCCATCAGGAGGGCCAACCAAAGCAATTCTTGTATGATAGTAGGAAGTACTACCACTGCTAAGAGCATGCTGATAAGCCAGCACAGCTTCTGGCCCTCTTGCAATCACTTCTGAAGGGGCAGTTCCAGCTTAAATTTGAAGAGCATTAAAATTAGGAAAAAAAGTATGAAAGATTTAACAAACATTGAATCTTAAAATTTACTCCATAAGAATCAATAACTGCTCTTTAATAATAGAAATAAATGAAATTAATACTAGACCCCCAATGCAGTAGTACTCTTTCTATCAAAATTATCATCAATATAATTTTGTCTACATAGGGTGCTATTTTGATATACTATAACAGAAGCAAAAAGTAGTAAAGCCTACACCTTATTAAAATCACATCCTTTGCAAATGCATATGAGTTTACATTAAATGATTGGGTTTAAAAGATTTTTATTTATGCGCAATAATTGTTATGCTCATTAGATCTACCAATACCTAACAATATTGACTAATCTAATAATTAATGACTTGAAAAAATAATTAAAATTAATGTTACAATGAAACTATGCAATTTTGAAATTTATTCCAATGTGTAATAAAAATGTTTAATAAAATGTACAATAAAAATATTACAATAAATATGTTTGGTACTTTTCCGTTTTCCCGGCGCAGGCGTTAAAGTCACCAATAATGGTACAATTGATGCCAAATGTAATATCCTCGCTGGTAACTTTTTACGCCTTCATTTTCAAAACAATTCGCAGCCATTTCTTATCAGCTTGACTGTTTTTTTTTTCAATACTGGCAAACAATTACATAGATTTTTTACCAAATAGTTCAATTTTATGCCCTAAGGCCATTCGTGGTAATAAAGTCAATTAGGATGCAATCATACGGCTCACCCGAAGGCGAAAATACAGAAAAGGCAAGATTAAAGATTAAATTCATCCATTCTAATGACAATGCACTAGCAAAGTAAAGCACTGCAGTTTTACATAATTTCTGAGTAAGAAACAAATTGAAATAATTCTTGCATTTAAACTTGTATTCCAATTTAAGATTTAATTTGAAATTAATGTAGATAATTACTGAGAGAATTAGATTTTTCAGTGTAGTTTACGTGAGATGAGATCACTTGGAGTCACATGATATGAAAAACCGAATTAGGATGTTGAACCATGAAAGCATAGTAAATTCTTAAATTAATATCTTTTTACAAATTTATTGTGTTTATTTATTGGCTTTTTACAAAATCTTAAACAATATTAAAATGTTTATGCCTTCAAAATAAAAAATGCTTAGAACTAACATTTGTTAACATTTTTTTATGTGTACACTGTATGTTGTCGTCAATAAAGTCTGCTTGGCGAGTTTTGCGCCGACGAAACGGAAAAGTACCAAAAGTTTTTTTTAATAAGTTTCAGATTGTTTATTAACAGTTTTTCAATTGTATTTACAGTCAAAAGTCTTTAATCCGGACTCATCGGGACTTTGGCGATTCCGGATTATCGATTTTTCTGGATTATAGATCATCAGTTTAAATCTGGTAAGATGGCATGCAGAAATTATAAAATTAAAAATATGAAACCGTAATTTATAAAATAATGAGCAATTATGATCTAAAGGATATCAAAATTTACAAAAAAAAGAAGCTTAATATTTATTTGTTTACTTTATTAAACATTTCTTTCAACGCACGCATGCGTAAAGCATACATTGCGCATAGCCGAAATTAGAAAATTGCGACCAGAAAACTATTTGATTTGTATTCATGATATTTATAATGACGAGGAATTTGATTTAAATCATATCAAAGACAGAGTACATCGAGATGAAATACTACATTTAGTAAGGAATTATAAGTCGAATAAAATAAAAACGTCTGCCCTGAAGATAACGATAGCACTGACAGATCAACTTCCAGTTCATTGCGCGCCGAGGCGTTCCCCCCCCCCAGAGCAGCATGAAATTGATAAACAGATTTCGGAACGGTTAGATAAGCAAAGGATATGCCTTTATCCATTTTTTTGTAGCAATTCCACTTTTTGTTTGATGGACATCGAAACATACTTTCGTTTCCTAGATCCTTTGGGAGCTCCAGCATCAAAAATTCTATTTGACATAATCGAAAGTTCAAGCTTACTTTTATAAAATTGCTCTAACAGTCTGCAAAAAATAATAAGCAGGATCCAATTAGAAGATTAAAGGAACAATGCAATCATGCAACATTAACTGAAATAGATAATTTTAGAAATTTTAGCTTATACCGTCCGTTATACATTAAACGTGCACGCGATAAACGTATTATGCGAATTGCGCAGACGCATATGTGTAGTGCGTAAAGGTCCTTGCATGCACATGCGTAAAACGCCTATGCGCATGCATCAACTCGTTTACGCATGCACAGAATAGATTTGTAGCTTTGAGGTCTCGGGATTATAGATCATTCCGGATTATGGGTGTCCGAATTAACGACTTTTGACTGTATTAGTAAAGTTAGTCTTCTGTAGATTTTCTATTATTCTTTTCAAGAGTTTTTTTAATGAATCTGCTGCAGTTTTCTGAGTTCAGTTGAGATTGACATGGCTTAAGAATCTACACCAATTTCATAGTCAGTTTCAGCTTCTGAAACTCTTTTATCACTTTTTATAATATAAAAATCAGTTTTCTATGTGTTGCATCAAAATTATTATCAGTTGCAATATATCACAAAAATGAATCTTCGATCATTTTCCTCTCCAATGTCCATAACATTTATCAACGACTAAAGCTTGCCATTTCTCTGATGATTTTTCCAAATAAAAACCACATTTAAAGCAAATTTCTAAAGCAATTTTTAATTGTGTTTTTATGAAGTGTCTCCTATGCATTCAGTTCTAATATGGATAGCATCAAACAAAGATATTTACTTAGTTATGTCCTTCAAAGTGTTTGTATTTCTACAACATGCAAGATGTCCTATCACATTTTGAAAGACAAACTTCACATAATATATGAAAACCTTATAAATAACCTGGTCTAAAGGTTGAATGATGAAGAACTTTGAATGAAAAATTTATTTCCTACAGTTGCATTAATTTAATTAATCCTCCCCAATGGCAGATTGTGAACAGTTATAGTTTTGTAACAGAATCCATTAATCTATACTAAGGCCAGATGTTGTGGTCCCTTTATTATGGAGGCACTTAATAGGTGGGCTACCATTGCCTCCTATGAAGGAACGGACAGTTACAAGCATGCCTTCTCCGGGATTCGAACCTAGGCCCTTCAGTATAACAGTCAGGCTTTCTTAACCACTATATCGTTTTGGCGGCTATTTAATTAATTAATACAACTTAATTTAATTAATTAATACAACTTATGCATTAATTTAATGCTTCACAGAACATCAAAAAGGTATGTATTGCAGTTATCTAACAGTAAAATGTTTTTGGTACTTTTCCGTTTCACCGGCACAAATCTCACCAAGCGGACTTTGTTGGCGACAGCATGCAGTATACACATAAAAAATGTTAACAAATGTTAGTGCTAAGATTTTTTTATTTTGAAGGCATAAACATTTTCATATGGTTTAAAATTTTGTAAAAAACCAATAAATAAAGACAATTTCTGAAAAGACTATTTAAGAATTTACTATGCTTTAATGGTTCAACAGCCCGATTCGTTGGTTCATATCACATGACTCCAAGTGATCTCATCTCACGTAAACTACGCTACAAAAATCAATCTTATTCTCTCAGTAATTATCTACATTAATTTCAAGTTAAATCTTAATTTGGAATACAAATTTAAATGCAAGAATTATTTCAATTCGTACAAATAGCTTACTCAGAAACTATGTAAAACTTCAGAAACTTATGCAAAACTGCAGTGCTTTACTTCGAACTGATGAATTTAACCCTCGACGTTGACTTTTCTATATTTTCGCCTTAAGGTAAGTGAGCAATGTGATTGCATTCCTAATTAGACTAATTACTGCGAATGGCCTTAGGGCAAAATTGAACTATCTGGGTAAAAATTCTATGTAATTGTATGCCAGTATTGAAAGAAACAATCAATCTGATAAGAAATAGCTGCGACTTATTTTGAAAATGAAGCGTAAAAGGTTACCAGCAAAGATATTCCGTTTGGCATCAGTTCTACCATTATTGGCGACTTTATCATTTGCCCCGGCAAAACAGAAAAGTACCTTTTTCCCCCCCTATTTTAACGTGTTGTCTAATTTAAAAAGAAAATCTGCACAGATATTAATTGCCATCCATGAGTTCTTTTTTTTATGTTAAATAACAGCTAAATTCTTGATTCCTTGAGGGGTTTAGCTTTTATGAATGTCATCTTAATTTTCGTAGCTGCATTACACATTAATAACACAGTAAACCCTTTTTTGAGCTCCTTAAAACCCAGTTGCTGATTCAAATTTAAACAGTAATGGGTGCTAATGGTAATGCTTGTAAAACAAATTAGTTTCTTGAAACTAGTAATTATAAATTTCATATAGCTTATAATCCATTAGCAACTCAAGTAAAATGTCTTATCCAGGAATCAACCAGGTGTTAATCTGTAGCCTGTTTTTCATGATGCAATTTTTTACTAAACTATATTACTTCTCTCTCTGCCTTCTGAGCTATCCAACAGTGGAAACCAAATCTTGTCCCAGTATTTTAACAAATTTTATAGAGTCAAAAATGCTCTAGCAATATGGCCACTGCTTTAGTATTGAAGATTGAAGCCATTCTAAAAGAGCAGCCTGAGTGTCTTTTGACTTCCCATCCCTTTGATACTTTCTTTAGCCCTTTTTGTTAGTTCCTCAATTTTAGGTTTAAGTAAACTGCATAAAACTGTTTGGGTAAATCCATATTCAAATGCAAAGTTTCTTTGGCTGCATTTACCAACCACTTCATAGTATTTTAACAGCATATGGTTCTCACTCAGGGCTTAACTTTTAGATATTTTCAATGAACTAGTATTATTTCAATACATTAAAATTATGCAGATTAAAAAAAATCATCTAGAGATTTTCCAGATTCAATATTCATGTTTCGTGTCAAAAAAAGGAATTTTATTTATTTATTTTATTTTATTTATTTATTTATTTTGTTTGTGATTTTGAACATTGTGGTTACAAGCATGACCAATGCTTTCTCTTCTGCTCATTTCAATTTACATGAAACATTTTGGACATTTAAAGTGCAACAATGTAAAATAATGTTAGAAAGCATTTTAACAAGTTTTCTAAGAACTCCAAGTGTATAATATTTGCTAAATGGAGAAATATAAGTTACTTTGGTGAGAATTAGTAGAATGTTTTAGAAATGAATAAATATTAGTCATTATGACTTTTATAAGTGGCAAAAGTGAGTTTGATAAACAAAAAATTTCTCTATTAACAAGTACACATATATTTTTCTTTTGTTTCCTGCAAATTTAAAACCAAAAAATGATGGATATTATTAACCAATGAGTTTAATGAGCAGTTGGTATTGTAATTAATTTATAAAATAAAAACACATTAAAGAAGCCTATTTCAGTCACTAAAAATTTAAAACCATAAATAAATTTTCAATTACACATTAACTGAAAAGCCAGGAAAACAATAAATTTGAAATCATGTTTTTTTTTAAATTATATATATATATACAGTCAAAAGTTGATAATCCGGACCTCAAAGCTACAAACTTTCTGCGCATGCGTCAATGCAAATTTGCGTTGATGCATGCACGTAATACCTTTACGTATGCGCATATGCATGTACGCATGTGCATAATAAGTTTATGGATGCGCGTTTAATGTATAACGGACGGTATAAGCTAAGCTAAAATTATCTATTTCAGTTAATGTTGCAGATTGCGTTGTTCCTTAATCTTCGAATTGGAACCGGCTTATTATTTTTTGAAGACTGTTAGAGCAATTTTATAACAGTAAGTTGGAACTTTCGATTATGTCAAATAGAATTTCCGATGCTGAATCTACAAAGGGAAAGCATGTTTCGATGTCCATCAAACAAAAAGTGAAATTGCTGCAAAAAATGGATAAAGGCTCCTTTGTTTCTCTAACCATTCTGAAACCTGTTTATCAATTTCACGCTGCTTTGCGCAGAGGGGAAGGGGTGCACGTCGAGGCGCGCAATGACCTGGAAGTTGATCTGTCAGCACTATCCTAATCTTCAGAGCAGATGTTTTTATTTTATTTGGCTTATAATGTAGTATTTCATCTCGATGTACTCCGCCTTTGATATGATTTAAATCAAATTCCTCGTCTTTAAAAATATCACGAATACAAACCAAATAGTTTTCTGGTTGCAATTTTCTAATTTCGACTATGTGTAATGTATGCTTTACGCATGCGCACGTTTGAAAGAAATGTTTAATAAAGTAAAAAATGAAATATTAAGCTTTTTTTTGTAAATTTTGATACCTTTACCATCATAATTGCTCTTTATTTCATAAATTAAGGTTTCATATTTTTAATTTTATAATCTCTGCATGCCATCTTACCAGATTTAAACTGATGATCTATAGTCTGGAATCGGTGAAGTCCGGACGAGTCCGTATTAAAGACTTTTGACTGTATATAAATGCTTTATGTGTATATGTGTATAGTATATGTGTGTGTAATATATGTATATGTGTAAATATATGTGTGTGTGTAAGATACAAAATATGTAAATCTGTTTTACAACTGTAATTTAGCAACAGCCTCAGTACTCTTCTGTTATCGGGATTCGATTGAGAAATGCATGTATGTGTGCAGATGTGGTACGTGTGTATGTGCATACATGTGTGCATTTATGATCCAGAATCGACGAAGTCCCGACGAGTTCAGATTAAAGACTTTTGACTGTATATAAATGCTTTATGTGTGTAAATATATGTGTACGTGTAAGATGCAAAATATGTAAATCAGTTTTACAACTGTAATTTAGCAACAGCCTCGGTACTCTTCTGTTATTGGGACTCGATTCAGAAATGTATGTATGTGTGCAGATGTGGTCAGGGGCATAGCTAGAGTTTCCAGCGCCCGGGGTCAACTGAAGAATTTGCGCCCCTTTCTGCGTGCCAAGAATGGAAAACATTTCCTTAAAAGATTTTGTAGCATTAATTTGGCGCCCCCTGGATGCTGCGCCCTAGGACAGATGTCCCCCTTGCCCCACCCTAGCTACGCCACTGGATGTGGTATGTGCATACATATGTGCATTTATAAATATGTATATGTACATTGACAAATTTTTTTGAACAAAACTTTGAAACAAAATGGTATCTAACTTTTTGCTAATAATAATAATAACGGTGCTTTTATACCTCAGTTTACAATAGTTTCATTCAAATTCTATGTAACACAAAATAAAATTAAAACTTTCATTTTCTATAAAGTATGCTGAAGAATTAAAATGTGCATGTGGTTAGAATGAGATTAAAAATAAAATAAAATGCTCTAGGTCAACATGCTAAACTTAGGTTATCTATGTTAAAATGTTTACTTATATTAAAACATGGTTTTAGCATGTCAGTCTAGAAAACATTTAATTTTGTTTCTAATTTCTGTAGAGTATACTTGAGGATTATGAACAACTCGCTGGAGTTCTCAACGGGTGGTATGTATACCACTGGTGGTACATAAGGCAAAAATAGGTGGTACACAAAGAAGCAAAGTATTTTTAACAATTAAATTTAAAAATTAAAACCCTAAAATTCTGATTGAGTTTTTTCTCTAACACTCGTAAATTTATGTGATCTGAGCTTTGTTCAAGAGTGGTGGTGGTAGTAGTACTTTGTATTGGTCATACTAAAGGTTGTCAATTTTTGTTAAGATGGTACGCATTAGTCAAAAGTTTAAGAATCGCAGAGTTAGACTATAGAAAGATGCAGATTATCATTTTATAAAATACATGCCAGATTAAGAAATATAACACTTCAGTATATAAAAATTAATTTTAACTTACAATTTGAAACAAACTTTGCAGAAACAGTGATTCCATATAAGTCCAGTAAAATCCATAATTGCTCCTTTACTGGAAGTCCTAGTAAAATAGCACCTTTATGCTCACTGTTTACAAACAAATGTAGATGTCCCCTGGAGTTCACATAAAATGTCAACCTTTGAAAAAAAAAAAAAAAAAAAAAAAAAAAAAAAAGAGAGAGATAACAGCATTTAATTAATGATATATTATTACAGTGCAAAATAAACAAAATTATAAATATTTAATTTTGGAACCACACAATTTAAAATAATGTGTGTTCATCATCAAAAATTTGTGTATATTATAAAATCATTATTTAATTTATGAGAAATAAAATCCTATTTCAGAAAATGAATTGACTGGCATACAGAATTTTATGTTTGACAATAATAATTAAGATTTTCTACAATTTTTCTCTTTCATCCTCCCTAAGAATTTTTATAATTTTTTCTCAAATTCCTTGATTTCCTTTAATACTATCTCACCTATCGTTACACTAAATCATTGTATACCAAATATTTGAATACTGAAAGGTTAATTTTATAACATAATAAATGATATCTGCTGCTCACATTTGTTTGTTAAAATTTTGTTTACAATGTAGTTTTGTTTATTATATGTTTGTGGACAGTAGAATGGCTGAAAATGGGTCAAATTAGAAAATGCATTATTTTTATACAACATTTCTACGAGCATATCTGCATTTTCTTTTCCCATGAAAGAGAAAACAAGAAATTAGGCGGCTATATGCTTTTTAAGCAATTTTATAATAATGAAACACAGTTACATAAACTATTTTTCAGCGAAGCGGTTACAGAATATGTAAACTTATTTAAGTTATATAATTTTATTGAATTGACGACTGAAAACAAGACTCAATAAAGAAGTGAAAATATGGAAAAAAGAAAAGCTGTCTTCTTCAGCTGCAGTTTACTTTTATCTAAGTGCTACTTTCTTCTTTCTGTGATGTAGAAGCTTCAACTATTAACGATGAATAAGCATCAGCATTGAATTAATGTATCATATTCTGATCATTTTCCCTTTCATTTTGCTGTCACTCATTTTCAGCCCTGTGATATTTAATTTAATATTTTTGTTTATTGAAATAACCGCCCTTGATAAATTTATACAACAGAAGTGACTGTTGCCATTTGATACTCTAATGCTGCTATTTTAAAACGAAGCAGACGAATCGCTTTTAAACAGCTTAGACTAAAATCATTTAATTTAAGTTAGGTATTAAAGTTAAGTTACGCATTTAATTAAGTTAAATATATACACTCATTGGTTTCATATGCGAAAAGCAGCGAGACAGAGCCAAGCAAAATGCGCTACGTGGATCTAGGATCGTGATGGCATTTACTAGCCTGTAGCTTTTCAGCTTTTACCAGTTAGCAGGGAAATTTGCCCTATGGCTTTGGTTTTTGTTGACACAAGAGACTAGCGCTTCTCTAAACAGCGTAAATGTCAAAATACACTGAAGTACTGAATTGAAAGTAAAAATTTTGAAGTATTTTGAAGCCGTCGAGCTGCGATGGTGAATGTGATTCGTCGGAGACAGTCACGAGAGTGGGTACTCTCCCAACTCTCCCAAGTACTGACCCCGAGAGAAGCTGCTTGTTTGAAACGAAGTTTTGGTAACAAATTCCGAAAAATTTCAAAATGACATAATTTCAACAGTAACTTCTTGTACAGTTCTAGTTCATTCATTACTTTCTGCAAATTTCATCAATGTAAGAGCGGCGCTAAAACTTGCAGCAAACTTCTCGGTAGTAGATTTAGCGGCTGATTTTCGGAAATTTTCGGATTTTGAAGCCAATTATCGCTTCATGAAATTCTTCTTGGGGGGGGGGTTCTTCATTTTCTCACTGTAGACAGTCTTCGGAAAAATAATTTCTTTGATATGATTAGTACCAGATAGTTGTGGGAAATCATCTGGAGTGAAAACTGGAACGTTAGGTTTTTGCGGGATTTTCTTGCTTTCAGAAACGTTTCTTATACGCAGAACATCCACGATAAGAACAAACATGTTGTTCGGAACAGAACAGGCAGGTCAGCTTCTTCTCAGGTTTCAGTGGACAAAGTTGACTTAGGTGGTGTTTGTCACACTTGTAGCAGCGCTCAGGATTTGTACAAAGGTGCTGGGAATGTCCAAATTCCTGACAAATTACATTGGATTATATGCTTCTTAAGTGAAAACTTTTATATTTTTACATTCGCACTGAACATGTTCAATTGATGAATTGCATACCCAGCTTGCGTTTTCCTTAGTTCTAATAAAAATATTGGTAATTTTTCAAAATTATTTTTGAGGCTTCTAGTGAATTGTTTCACTTTTATTATAGGGTAGTTTCTTCTCTCCAAGTCTTTCTAGATAGCTTCCTCTGTCATCATCTCAGGTAGATCTTTAGGTACAACTTTAATAGGTTTTTTCCCTTATAAGTTGGAAAGAATGAAATGGGATATTCCTTTCTTGTAGTATTTTAGTAGCTTTGCGGTAATCTTTAATATTTTTACATTCAAGTATAAAGACTGTGCCTTCGTATTCGCTTCAAATTCCTCAGAACAAACATTCATTAAAAGCTCGCGTACTTTAATCCAGTCAATGGCTCGTTGCTTGAAAACGATCGGCGGGGGCGTTTCTTCCTAGGTAGCTGCTCCTTCCGCTTAATTTTCATCATTTTTCAAAGGCTGATAACGATTATCGTTTTGGATTTCTATCCGCTCAGCTGGGATTGAGGCTTTTACTGCATTTTTTTTTTTTTTTTTTTTTTTTTTTTTTGCTTTATCCATTTATCAGAATTCGGAATTTCATCACAGGATTGCTCATTACTTGGATAACAGTTAGGATATTTACTTCTCATTTCAGCTGTACGCTCTTCTACCGATTTACCGGTGATGGTCTTCAAAAGAGAATCGATTCCTTTTTTCCTAATAATTTCCACGAGTTCAAGTATCTTAGGATCTTCTCCTTCATCTGAGGTTTTTGGTCTTTTTGTGCTGCTCTTCTCAATATCAGACATCGCTTTAAATGTTTCCTTTTTCCCCTTCTTCGGCATGCTATTTTCTTTCAGGAAATCTTCTCTTCTTAAGTTCGGTTAAGACGTCGTCGATCGAGATCACTGCTCAGAATCGTACTCGTTTAGCTCATCGTCATATTCGGAGGGAGTCCTAAAAAATGACATTTTTGGCATACTCGAAGGTAGCACTGCAGCAGTATGGTCAGTCAAAATGGAATCGGAAAATCAGCGCGTACAGATCTGCGATACTGCGATATACGGTGTTTATTCTGGGGCTCTATCGCCTGAGCGATCCTTTTCAGATAAATGAGTTCCTTGCAGAGTCTTACATTGAAAAATTTCCCTGACTTATCTCCGTGGAAGGATGTAGATAATTCTAGAAAAAATCGAACAGATGTATATGTGTCACGTTCAGCTGTCACCGCTCGAATGTGCGCTACGTGACCTTCGCCGATGTTATTTATTTAAGGTTATTCGCTTCCTGCGATCTGGTTGTCTTAGAATACATTTGCAAAAAGTAGTATCTTTATTGTAAAATTCAAAATTCCGGAGTCTATGTAAGGCCTTCGACAAAGCTGCTTAAAAATAATGCAATAGAATAACTAATAATTAAAGCAATAAACTAATTAATAATGAAAATACTAAAATAAATAGTAATTATGTAAAATCAGTCGTTTTGTCGAAGCAGGAAACATAAAAAATGTGCAATGTCCTTGCGAAAATTCGCATTCCGGATCTCTCGTTCGCCAGACGGTCGTGTTTCTAATTACATCTCACGGAAAAGTAAAGAAGTCTGAGAATCCTCCGGAAAGAAAGACAAACGACATTTAAATTGTATTTAACTTCCTTCCTTTATTTTTTCAGATTTGGTAGTCTGAATTATCTAGACGGGAGCTACTGGAAAAAAAGTCTTCACCTCCAAACAAGAAAAATTTCCAAATAGTAAATCAAAATCTTAAAGTAATTGGTTGCAAGATAGTGCAAGACAGTTAAATTAAATTTGAATTCCTTATTCATCTTTCGATGTTAGCCGTTTTAGAAGTGAATAAAAAAATATTTCTTTAATACAAGTTCTTATTTGAAATGGGCTCGAATGGTTTCAATTTTTATTGGAAATTGACAATTCTGATCTTGCTTGTGATAGCTATAATTTTTCTAAACCCCTATAACAAATTTTTGATGACGTCTGATAAAATACTGATTTGGTATAAGTCTTTTCCGGTGACATCTGGTTTTAATTTTTTTTTTTACATCTTGATATCACAAATGGATTATAAAAAAGCTGAAAATTTTTGTGGTAAATATCTTATATTCAAATTCTGAAACCCCGGTGTTAACCAGTTTTCATAGTTTCGCTAGCTGGTGAAACTAATTCATGTATTTTCAGAGGCTACTGTATGTAAAAGTATTATTTGGTAAAAGAAGTAAAACTGAGAGGAAGGCAACTTCCAAATTATTCTATACACAAGTATCTCTTAATGTTTTTTTAGTCCAAAGCGGCGTTGTCCCTGAAGGACTATTGGTTTCGTTTTGCGATTTTGCGTCGAATCACTCTGAACGTCAGTTACATCTTTCAAACTGTTGCCACCAAATACTATCACCCTATATTATATTTGAAGAAAGTAAATAATGAAGAATCTGCATAAATGTATTCCTCCCCTCCTGGTCATCTCACTCACTTGTTCGTCCTGGACATAAGTAAGACAGAGATTTCTCGAAGCTGAGCTAAAGAGACCTCTTCTTACATCTAACGATTTCCACAGTGTCGAATACGTCTTTCCAGAATTTTCTGTCTGTCATATTAGATGAAATATGGTTGGACTTCAAAGCCTTTTTTAGTCCAAAGGGGCTTTGTCCCTGAATGACTATTGTTTTCGTTTTGCGATTTTGTGTTGAATCCCTATAAATGTCTGTTTCACTTTCAAAACTGTAGCCACCAAATATTATCGCCCTGTATTATATTTCAAGAAATTAAATAATGAAGAATCTGCATAAAAGTATGCATGTTTCTCGCACTGTGATAAAATAAGGGTACCTAGAGCCATCCAATTTTGAATGACGTAATCCTACTGCGAATATCTAAAAGCCCAAATTTGAAATTTGTTTTATTATCGATT